AAAAAATTTAAAGAAACTCGTCAAAAGAATTTAATTATTTATTAAAACTCTAATACAAATTTTTGAAGCCTTTTATAGATTTATTTATGTTCGAAATCAAATTAAATTTGATGAGAAAAAAACCGAGAAAAATTACAATATAGCCGGGAATTTTGTTGAACGAAAATAGTAGAAACCCTGATGTTAGTATGGGCCTGATTTTTAATATTTTTTAACAAAAATTTTACAAGTTACTTGCTTAGTAATGTATTTTAAGATATGAAAGTGCTCAAATAAAAAAGTTATAAAAATAACATATCTTTTCTGACCATTTTGTCCTTTGTGAATATTTTTAATTTTTATTAAAAAATTTTTTTTATTTAGATTAAAATTCTAAATTTAATCAGTTTTATTATACAAATTTAAAAAATTATTTTTTCAATTAGATATTACTATTAACTAATTAACTATATTAATTAATTTGTAATTAAATAAGATTAGAATCAAGTTCCTATAGAATCGTAGTCGATTATATATTTATATTGTTTTGTATGTATTTATAATATGTTTAATTTTATTTTGAAAGAAAACTTATTTCACATTTCAATAAAAAAAACTGCTTAATAATCATGGGCTCCAAAATCCTCTTTTAACAATAATTGTTTATTATTATTTCTTAAATTGACTTATACAAACATTGTAACGTTTTTAAAAAAAATTTCAATAAAACTGATTAAATTAGAATCTTTTGTAAAAAAATAATCTATTTCATCGTTAATTAAAAATAAAAACCAACTTACAATAATCAAATTTCTGTTTCAAATGATTTATACTTGACGATAGAAAAGCGATATAGTAAAGGTCAGTTCTAGCCTAGCATCTTCTAATTTATTTTACGAATTCTATAAATAATTTTTACTTAATAGCTTTTTTTTATAAAATATTATACAAATCGAAACACTTATATCACTTTAAAAATTAATTGCTAACAGAATATTTAATTTTTTAAAGCTACATAATGAGAAAAGTGAAATTTGAAAATATAAAAAATATATTGTTTTCAATTTTAACCCTTTGACTTGCTATATTGTCCCAAATTTAATGTTACAGATGAATAGTTGAAATGAATAGTGTAATAAATAATTAATTATAGTAAATACATAGAAGCCTTCCATACGTATTACAAAAAGTCACAGACTCAGGAACTAACATGAAGAAAATTCTAATAAATACACTTTAAAATTAATTTTTTAAATTAATTTAAGTTTAATGTAAAATATATGTATATAAATTTAAGTGTTCGTCTTTTGGCCAACAGACCAATCGCATTTATTTTATGAAAATTCAAACAGTATACTTTCTTTTGCAATCAGAAAATAAAACCAGGGCTCGAACCAGTTCAAGTATTTAAAAATACGGAACATTTTACTTAAAACTATAAATTAAAGTTTCCATAAAGATTTATTATTTATTAAAGATGACCGAGAGATAAAATCATTATCAATTCAATTATTATTTTCTAAAATTTCTAACTAAAATTCTTCTTTAAATCGATAATTTTAAATAATTTTCGAAAAAGTTCTTTGACAATTTTTAAATCCATTTGTTTACAATATTCAATTATTATCTAAAATTTGAAAAGAAATTCATTTTCAAATCAATTTTTATTCGAAAATTCTACTAGAATTCAATTATTTGAATAGAAAAATAAATAATTTATTGAATAATTGAATGTTTTTTAAAATTCAATTCCAATAAAGAATTTTATCAACGAATTTTTAAATAATTGAATTCTTTCGACGAATTTTAATAAAATTTTTAAGAATAATTACATTATTCCAGAAATTCGATTAAAATTGTATTAAAAATAATTGAAATTCGTCGATTTTTTTTAGTGTTTTTAACTAAAATTCTTCTATTAATGCATTAATTTTTAATGATTTCTTATAAAGTTCTTTGAGAATTTTCAAATTCATTTGTTTACAATTGAATTTTACAAAATTTTAATTGTTCGTAAATTCTTCAATTAAATATATATATGAGAAAATAAAAACTTGAAATAATTTCAAAAGAAAAAAATCCGCAATTAAACTTTCTGAAAAAAATTAATTACCCAGAATTGTTAGTTAAAAATATGAAAAAATTCAGATTTTCAAAGATTTTAATTTGAAACCTTTTCAAAATTCAATTATTTCGAAAAATTCACGATCCAATGGTTCTAATATTCAATTATAATTTTCTATCATTTTATTTAAAATTGTATAAAAAATAATTTAAATTCTGCGATAAGTTTTGTCATTTATGAAAATAATTGAATTCTTGCAATGAATTTTATTAAAAATAGTTTTAAAGAATTTAATTCCTGTGAAGAATTTTATTTGTGAAAATAATTGAATTCTTGGGAAGAATTTTATTAAAATTTCTTAAATAATTGAATTGCTTCGAAGAATTTTATTTTTTACCAAAGTAATTGAATTGTTTCGAAGATTTTTACATACATTTTTGACAATAATTGTATTCCCAGGAAGAATGTTATATTTTACGAAAATAATTGTATTCTATGATCAATTTTATTATAATTTTTCAAATTTATAAAGCATTTTATCAAAATTTTTAAAAATAATTGAATTACCGGGAAAAATTTTATTATTTATGAAAATAATTGACTTCTTGCGAAGAATTTTATTCAAATATTTTAAAAAAATTAAATTCCCACAGAAAATTTGCTATTTTTGAAAATAATTGAGTTCTTAAGAACAATTGTATTGAAAATAATTATTGAATTATATCAAAAAATTTTATTAAAATTGCAATTTTTTCAAATAATATAATTTTTTAAAGAATTTTATTTAAATTTTTCAAAACAATTGAATTCCTCAGAGTTATTTTCTTAAATTCTTTGAATATAATTGAATTTTTTCGAGAAACTTCATTAAACAATTAAAAATAATTGAATTGATGCGAAGAAAGTTATAAGAAATTCGTAAGTAATTGAATTCCTGTGAAATTTTTATTAAAATTTTTTTAAAATAATTTAAATTCTTTTGGAAAATTTTATTAAAAATCATTGAATTTAGGAAAAATTTTGAAAATAATTGAAATTTTGCCAAGAATTTTATTAAAATTTTTGAAAATAATTGAAATTTTGACAAGAATTTTATTATTTATAAAGATATTAAAATTCAGACGAGAATTTTTGTAAATTTTTGAACATAATTGAATTTCTGCGAAGAATTATATTACTTTTGAAAATAATTGAATTCTTGACATGAATTTTAATAAAATTTCTTTAAAAATAATTGAATTCTTTTGTGAAATTTTATTGAAATAGTAGATATTGAAAGTGATTAATTTTGACAAATTTGACTTTTCATCCTTTTTCAATCAAACTACAGACTTTACGGACCTTTTTTCAAAAAAACTGACTTTTACGGACTTCAAGCAAATTTTTCGGACCTAGTTCGAGCCCTGTAAAACACATTTAATGTTATTTCATTATTAAATATCTAATATTTGAAATTGTTCGAAATAGTGAATTTTTTTTATACATTTATTAAATATTTATACATAATTTTTTATAATGCATAAAAAATTATACTGGTAAAGATAAAAAAAAATATTCTCCAACGTGCAGTTTACTTTTTTTTTATTAGCCATTAATTTTGCAAAACTCTTCTTTCCACGATTTTTCTTATTTTTTTAGTACAACTTAAATACATAAAAAAATATTTATTTTTAGGTCACAGAAAGTAATTATTAACTTGTAAAAAGAAATGTAACTGAGCAACCAATTTGATACCAATTGGTTTTTACATTATCAATTCTTGAAATATTGTATCTACATTTTTTTACCATAAAAATATGCATAATTAAATAACAAACTCAAAATACTGTTTCTATAAACAGTGTATAACATGTGTACATACATAAATATTATATGCACAAAAATACGCATTATTGTTATTACGCATTATTTTTTCCAATTTTTAATATTTAAATATATTATTATATTTGAATTTACAGTTTCAAATTCATTTTCAAAGTATAATTTAAAAAAAAACGTAAATAAATCAATTTTTACTTTGTAATGTGAAAAAAAAAATAATTGTTTTTATCCTTACTTATGCGAGATATTTATTTCTAGAAAATATCTTTACTTTATACCCATATAAAACTGACGACAGTTAGAAAAAAAATAAAATAAAAAGATACATCGAAAAGCGATTGCGATTTTACTGTCATACTTGAAGATATACTCATTTTTAATTATTTTCTTTTTTTATGTAGATGCTGCGAGTATTGTGTAAATAAATATAATTAATCCGGAGAAAATATTTACATGACCAATTTAATGAAATTTTACTGTTTAATGATTATTTTATTTACATTTCCCTTTTAAACGACTGGAAAAAAACAATCAACGCTACTACAATATTTTATTAAACTTTGAAACTTATTAACAAACCATTTTCTATTGAAACGATAATCCAGACAAAAAAATACAATTTTGAATACCAATTAATTTTTTAATTGAAAGATACTTTTTAAATCTTAAAACAGTTAATAAAGATTATTTTTTATTTATAAATGAAATTTTGAAAATCATTTAATTAATTATTAAAGGCATTTTTCGAATTAGTTTATTAATTAAAAATTTTATCAAAGATTTAATAAAATTAATGCACAAAAATGTATTAAATTTTCTACTGAAAAAATTGCTTTCCAACGATTTCTCAAATAAATTATAAATTTAATATTTAGTATATTTTCTATAATTTATATTAATTTTAGAAATGTCTCTTGTAGTTTAGAACGTGAGCTATTTAAAGAAATTACATTTGCAAACATGAATATAATGGGAGTCTCTTTGAATAAAAAGTGAAGAAACAAAAATATATAAATTACAAAAATACTAATTAATTTTATCATTAAAAAAAATTTTTTACCATCTTTTTTCTTTAACTTCAAACTATTAAAGAAATCGAAATTTTTTAATTTATAAATATTTTGTTTGCTTATACATTAAAAATTCAATTACAATTTTTTCTTTGAAAATTTTTAATAGTTATAAAATTTGTTTAAGATAAAATGTATAGTAAAAAATTATTTTAATGAAAAAAATTATGTAATATAGATTCACTATGCGGTAACGTTGTTTGTTTCGAATTTCGAAATATAGTTGAAAATTTCTGAAAGCATTAATTTATCACTAAATTGGTTAACATGTAAACACTTTGAATTACTATACAACCAAAATATATTCTGATATTGAAACGTAATCATCTAAAATAATTTCAATGTTACAAAAGTATATATTTGTATATATATACTTATTTTTTCTTAAAAAGTTAGGCAGCGGTTTCTTCAACAACGGGCTTTTCTAAAACAGCGCCATCAGTCTCACCATTTTCTACAACTGTATTATCTGTACTAGAAGAAACGATTGTATCAACAACTGGTGCATTATTTAGTTTAACAGGTGCTTCACTTATTAAATCAACTGTCGATGATACAGTTGGATGCTTTTCGGTAATTTCTACCGAACATTCATGTACTTCTGCCACTGTCTCTATTTCTTTTGTTTGTACATTAACATTTTCAAATGTTTCAGTATCTTCACACTCCTTTAGCGGAAGGGTCAAAGATTTTTCGTCTGATAATAATTTATCATCGATTATTTCATTTTCAGTTGATGATGAAATTTCCTCTAGGTTTTCTTGTACGACAATCTCTTGAGATTCTTGTATTACCTCTTCGTACTCGCGTAATTCTTTTTCTTGCGTAATTCGTAATTCCTGTTCGTGTTCCTGTGGAACTAGATTTTCATCTTTTGCTACTGCTTGCTCGATTGCTGCTTGCTCGATTTCAAACAACTTCTCCTGCAATTCATATTGAATTGGTTGTTCATGCTGTGCCACGATATTATGCTGTTCCTGTTCACTCTGTTCAGCAGCCTGTTGAAATTGAATTTTTTGAAACTCTAATTGCTGCAAGTGTTCCTGTTGCTGCTGTTGTAGTTGTAGTTGTTGTTGTTGTTGGTGCAAGTCGTGATGCTTTTGCAAGACTTGCTGATGTGTTTCTTGTTGCGGATGTTGTAGAGTAATTTTACCACGATTTCGAGCTGCTTGATACTGCTGTTGATTATCGGGAGGTGGAAGAATGGGAATCGCAGCAGTTGGACGCCTCACTGGTTGTTGTTGCTGCTGTTGTTGATGTTGTTGAGCAGGACTGTAGTAAGTACAACCTTGTGGTTGGAACAATTCTTGCGGTGGTGGAGGACCTGGAGCCTTTATTTTAAAGAAAAAAACAAAATTAGTTCATTCATTGATTTCTTCATCAAATCTCGGATAGAATTTCTTTTACAACCCCTTTTTACTATTTCAGGCCTCGGATCGACTTTAACGAACAAAAAAAGTCGCTTTAGTCGATTAAAAATAGAAAAAAGTCGTTTATTTAATTTTGTGTAGTCACAAAATTTTTTTGTATTTCCCTGATTCTTCACTGATTTCTAAATTCAATTAATCAAAACTTGTATAATTTTGCTAAATCAGGGTCGCCACAAAAATTTAACTTTATTTTTCCCTGACTTTTCCTTGATTTCCAGACAGAACTTTGACTTTTTTCCTGACCCTAAAGAATATTCTGATTCACTCTTTATTACTCAAATAAAAAGTTCTATGACACTTACTCACGCATTTATTTAACTGTAGAATTATTCGAAAACATCAATAGTTTTATTTCAAATAAATATTAAATCATTATTTTTTTTCATTGGAATTAAGATGTTCAAAAATTTCAAATTCAAACCTTTTCAAATTGAACAACTCATAAGAATATTATTATAAAACATAAAGATGACCGACTGACAAAATCATTATTTTATTATTATAAGAATATTGTTACTGTAATTTCTTCAAAATTATTTGTATAATTTCATTTCAATTAACATTTTCTAGAATTTTTAATTAAAATTCTACTTTAAATCAATTAAATTAATTATTATTCAATTAAACTTTTTCAAAAAAAATTAATTCTACAGAATTGTTAGTTAAAAGTACAAAAAATAATAATTTAATTCTACGAGAATTCAATTATTTAAATACAAAAATAAATCATTTATTCAATAATTGAATGTTTCTTAAAATTTAATTTTTACGAAGAATTGTAATAAAAACTTTTGAAAATATTTAACTTCTTTTAAGGAATTTAATTAAAATTTTAATAAAATTTATTATATTAAAGAATTTTATAACAATTTTTGAAAATAATTGAAAAATTTTTGAAGAACTTTATTAAATTGTTTTAAAATAATTGAATACCTGAGAAGAATTTAAATAATAATTTTTGAAATAATTGAATCCATGCGAAGAATTTTATTAAATTTTGTTTAAATAATTGAAATTTTGCCAAGAATTTTATTAAAATCTTTGACAATAATTTAATTCTTGAAAAGAATATCGCCATCTATTTATAAAGAAAATTTAATTCTTGACGAGAATTTTTAAAAAATTTTGAAAAAAAATTTAATTTCTGCAAAGTATTTTATTACTTTCTAAAAGAAAAATATTACTCTTGTGATGAATTTTGATATTTATCAAGATAATTGAATTTTGGAAAAGAATTTTATTAAAATACCTTAGAATAATTGATTTTCAGGGAATTTATTGAAAATTGTATTAAAAATATTTGAAATTCTGCAATGAAAATAATTGAATTTGTAAATGAAATTTTATTATTTATGAAAATAATTGAATGTTTTCGTAGAATTGCATCAAAAAGTTTTTTCAATAATTAAATCTGTTGATAAATTTTATGAAATTAGTAAATATTAAAAATTATTGAATTGCGAAAAACTTTTGAAAGTAATTGAACTTTTGCTTTAAAACTTTTGTAATAATTAAATAATATTAAAAAATTCATTCTTGTCAGTAATAGGAAATTTTTTTGAAGATTTTGTATTGGAATTAGTGGTAGTTTCATAGTTTATGAGGCAAACAAAAAAGACATAATTTCACTTTTCGTGAAATTTGATAAAAATTGTATTAAAAATAATAATTGAAATTCTGCCAAGAATTTTATTACAATTTTTGAAAATAATATTGAATTTCGGAGAAAAATTTTATTAATTATAAAGATAATTGAAATTTTGACAAGAATTTTTTTAAAATTATTTTGAAAGAAATTGAATTGTTACGCAAAGAATTTCATTAAATTATTTGAAAATAATCTAATTCTTTGAAGAAATTTAATTAAAAAGGTACTATTAAAAATAATACTTAAATTCTAATAAATAAATTGTAGCAAAGGTTTTTAAAATGATTGAATTTCTTTGATTTTAATAAATTTTTTAAAAATAATTACATTTTTCGAGGAATTCTATTAAAATTGTATTAAAAATATTTGAAATTCAGTATTGAGTTTTATTATTTATGAAAATAATTTAATCCCTGTAAAAAAAGTTATTATTTATGAAAATAATTGAATAATAATTTATGAAAATAATTAAATGTTTGCGTAGAATTTAATTAAAATTTTTCTTTACTAATTGAATTCTTTTAGGAATTTTTATTAAAGTAGTAGATATTAAAAATCATTGAATTGAGAAAAGTTTTTGGAAATAATTAAAATTTTGCCAAGAATTTTATTAAAATTTTTGAAAATAATTGAATTTCTGCAATCATTTGTAATTGCTTCAAAATTAAATTTGTTTTAGTGTTTTTAACTAAAATTCTTCTGTAAATCCGTTATTTTTAATAATAAAATATTTAAAAATTTAACTAATTTCAAAAGAATTTTAGTTTTAAATTTTTTTTTAAAATCTAAGTTTGTTATATTTCTAATTAAATTCATTTAAAATTGAAATTTTACAAAATTTCAAATCAAAATCTTTTGAAGTTCATCTACATAATATGAAAATTGTAAACGCAATTCTTTTAAAATTGAATTAATTTTGAAATATTTAAGTAAAATTAGATTTCAAGAATAAACACAATAAAACAATTTCCCAGGATTTTGATCAAAATTATCTGACATTTCCAGGTTTCTAGGATGCGTGGCAACCCTGTTCTTGCAATGTTTGGAAGAAAAGTCGCAATTTTCTTAATTTCCCTGACAAAAATGTTGTTTCCCTGACATTCTCCTGACTTTACTTTGTAGAGAATAATGCAAAAAATATGAATAAAATTTAAAAAAAATTTTTTCGCCTTAAAGTAAATCCGAGGCCTGTTCTTCGATTTAATAAATTGCTTTCTTAAGAAAAAGTTATTTTTCAAGTGAATAAAAATTGATAAACTTGTCGACTTAAAAGTGAAATTAAATATCGTACCTGAACAGGTGCAGGATTATAGCCTTGATATCCTTGATAATTAGGTTGAAATTGGGGCCCAGTGGGACCTGGGACATAGTTTAGTATATTCGGTGGTGCTGTTTGTGGAGGCAAAAATTGCGGCGGTGGAACTAAGAAAGGCGGTGGGGCCGCGTAACTTGATGGTTGTGGAGCTGGTGGTAGCGGGATGACCGGTTGTCCCGTCATTGGCGCATTCGGTGGTGCCACTGCTGTCGGCTGCTCAAAGTGCCCTTGAGGGTAACCTAGATAAAACAATAAACATAAACTTTAATGAGAAAACTAATAAAGAAAATCTATGAATAACACCATTCAAAACAAATCCAAGTTTTATATATTTTTTTTTAAAAACACATGCAACGAATCAAAAGCCAATCGGACACAAATGATCAAACGCAAAAACTTTTATTATTATGTACATGGCTGATTCTCCTGAAAGTGGTCTTTTGGATGTCCCAATCAATTTTATAAAACATATTCACTAATAGTTATTGTCAATTTTTATAGTAAAATTTTTGCCTTCATTATAATTGCAATATAAAAGTTAAAAAAAGAAAAGAAAAACAAGATTAACCTGACTGAAACATATAAGAGAAAATCCTACTAACACAGAAACGTTAAAATCCACAAAAACAAAGCAAAACACATTTTTATAACACGGTTATGGAGCTTACCTTGTGGTTCTAAAACAGCTCTTGAACTTCCAGCTACATATAATGGACAAATAATGGATTTTTAATAGTTTTTAATAAAATTTGTAAAATTTTTCAAATCATCGAAATTCAGAGACTTTCACGAAACATTCATGTCGTGTCCGTGTGTCAAGTCAACGCTTCAAAAATCGTGTCATATTATTAGTTAAAATATATATTGAAGAATTTAAGCATTTAACCATGAAAAAATAAAAAATTTTCTCTTAATTAATAGTTAAATGATCTGAAATTAAACTCCGAATTTCATTAATTACATTTAAGTGAAAAATTCAAGTCAGATCGTCAATCACACGCCTAATATATTTTTTTTTTTTGAAACAACGCTGCACTAAAGAATTTTTTACTTTTGGAAAAAGATATTATCCATGAAGCAAAACATTACCTTGAGGTGGATAAAATGTATGTTGGCCGTGTGGTGAAGGGAAATTTTGTTGTCCGGGTCCTTCTGTAAGTGCTGGTCGTTGACGAAGACTTGAATAACGTTTCGGACGGTTTGCCGAAGCATCCTGCAATGATGGTGTAGGCTGCTGAACCTGTTGCTGCTGTTGTTTCTGCGGTTGTTGTTGAAGTTGTTGTTGTTGCTGCTGTTGAGTGTGTTGCAAACGCGGTGGAACTGTATTCGCCCTTTGTTGAGTCGTCAATTGGACATTAAAATGTTCTGTGAGAAAAAAAATTACAGTTTTAATGTCAATTCAAAGAAAAAACTTAATATTCATTTATTCAGGGTGGCCACGATTTTCTCATTTCAAATTCCCTGACTTTTCCAGGTTAAAAAACGAAATTTTTCCAGGTTTTTAAAATTACATTTTACAAAATTAAATAACTTTCTGATTTCCAGACAAAACTTTGACGAATTCATTTAATTGTTAAATTATTCGAAAACATCAAAAACTTCATTTTTAAATAAATATTAAATCAAAATTTTTTCATAGAAATTAAGATTTTCAAAAATTTTTAATTCAACAACATATAATAATTAAAACTTGACAAAATCATTATTTTATATTATAAGAATATTGTTACTGTAATTTCTTTAAAAATTATTTTCATCATTTCGATTCAATTATTCATTTCTAGAATTTTTAACTATAATTCTTCTTTAAATCAATTTTTTAAAAATAATTTTTGAAAAAGTTGCTTGAGAATTTTCAAATCCTTTTTTTTACAATTAAATTTTACGAAATTTCGATTATTCTGAAATTCTTCAATTAAATATATTAGAAATTAAAAACTTGAAATAATTACAAAAAAAATTCCATTAAACTTTTTGAGAAAAATTAATTCAACACAAATATTAATTAAAAGTGTGAAAAAATTCAGAATTTCAAAGTTTTTGATTTGAAACCTTTTTAAAATTCAATTATTTTTAAAAATTCACGCTATAATGCTTTCATAATTCAATTATAATCTAAAATTTTAAGTGAAATTCATTTTTAAATCAATTTTTATTAAAAAATTCTACGAGAATTCAATTATTTATATATACAAAAATAAATAATTTATTGAATAATTGAATGCTTCTTAACATTGAATGATGAGAAAGAATTTTATACACAAAATTTTAAATAATTGAATTCTTTCGACGAATTTTAATAAAAATTTTCAGAATAATTACATTTTTCGAGAAATTTGATTAAAATTGTATTAAAAATAATTGAATTTAGCCAAAGAATTTTATAAGAGCTTTTGAAAATAATTGAATTTCAAAGAAAAATTTTATTATTTATAAAGATAATTGAAATTTTCAAGAGAAGTTTTTTAAACTTTTGACCATAATTGAATTTCAGCAAAGAATTTTATTACTTTTAAAAATAATTGAATTGTTATTCAGACCAATTTTAATGTTTCTTTTTAAATATGTAATTGAATTCTTTTGTGAAATTTTATTGAAAGAGTAGATATTAAAAATAATTGAATTTGACAATTTTTTGAAATTAATTAAATTTCGACAAATAATTTTATTAAAATTACTTTGAAAATAATTTAATTTTTTGAAGAAATTTAATAAAAAACAAATGAAAATAATACTTAAATTCTAATAAATAAATTGTAGTAAAAGTTTTTAAAATACTTGAATTTCTTTGATGAATTTTAATAAAATTTTTATTATTTATAAAAATAATTAAATGTTTGCGTAGAATTTTAATAAAATTTCAGAAAATAATTGAATTCCGGAAAAGAATTTTATTTTTTATAAAGATAATTGAAATTCTGAAGAGAATTTTTGTAAATTTTCGAACATAATTCAATTTCTGTGAAAAATTATATTACTTTTGAAAATAATTCAATTCTTTAGGCGAATTTTATTAAAATTTCTTTTTAAATAATTGAATTCTTTTGTGAAATTTTATTCAAATGAATTGTTACAAAGAATTTAATTAAAATTTTTGTAAATAATTTACATAATTCTTTGAAGAAATTAAATTAAAAACGTATTGAAAATAATACATAAATTCTAATAAATAAATTGAAGCAAATGTTTTTAAAATACTAGAATTTCTTTGATGAATTTTAATAATATTTTTAAGAATAATTACATTTTTCGTGGAATTATATTAAAAGTAATTGAAAGTCTGGGATGAGTTTTATTATTTATAAAAATAATTGAATTCCAAAAAAGAATTTTATTATTTATGAAAATAATTGAATAATAATTTATGAAAATAATTAAATGTTTGCGTAGAATTTTATTAAAATTTTTCTTTACTAATTGAATTCTTTTGTGAAAATTTGTTAAAGTAGTAGATATTAAAAGTCATTGAATGGAGGAAATTTTTTGAAAATAATTGAAATTTTGACAAGAATTTTATTAAAATTTTTGAAAATGATTGAATTTCTGTGAAAAATTTTACTGCTTTTGAAAATAATTGAATTCCTGCAATTATTTGTAATTGCTATAGAATACAATTTCTTTTAGTGTTTTTAACTAAAATGCTTCTGTAAATCCATTATTTTTAATAATCAATTAAATATATATTAAAAACTTTAACTAATTTCAGAAGAATTTGAATTGTTAATCTTTTCAAAAATCTACGTTCTTTAAGATTTCTAATTAAATTCATTGAAAATTGAAATTTTACAAATTTTTAAAATTATAACCTGTTGAATTTTACCTACTTATGAAGATTGTGAACGCAACTCTTTTAAAATTGAATTAATTATTAAATATTTAAGAAAAATTAGATTTCAAAAATAAATACAATAACTTTAGAAAACGACAATTTTCAAGGATTTCGATCAAAATTCCCTGACTTTTCCAGGTTTTTTCAAGGTTTATAAAATTCCCTGACACTTCCAGGTTTTCAGGTTGCGTGGCAACCCTGTTAATGAAATGTTTACAAATATTGGAATTAATAAAAATTTATCATGAAAAAGTATTCAATTGTCGAATTTTTTAAAAAACTTTTTGAATAAATTATTAAAAGTGATGACAAGTTTCTGATGAAACTTTATTTTAAAAGTTGAAAATATCTTAAAAATGAATAAAAATAGGCATGCTAAAAGAAGAGAATGATTATAAAATAAAACATACTATTCTGTCGTCCACCAGGGTGATAAGAAGTTGATTCAACAATGTTCATGTGTTTAACGTCATTAGCAAGTTGATGTTCCTCGTCCATTTGAATTGGGTTGGAACGTCTATTGTCTGGATTGATCGCACCCGGACCTCTTCCTTTTGGTTTCATTTCTAATATTCGATTACTGACTATATTGTTATTAGTATTTGCTTTAAAACCACGTCCACGTGCTCTACTAGCAACAAGACTTACGGACTCTTGGACATTTCGTTTGTTATTGTCTCGAGGCAAAGCTTTTACATATCCTTTATCAGCATCATCGCCACCAGAATTACCGTTAGAAGTATGAATATAAGAAGCACTTTTGACATCCTTTTTCCATACTTGATTTGTTGTCTCGTTGGAAATTTTACTTTCTCTTCTAAAACAATAAATGCAATTAAAGAATATTTAGATTATTAGATTTATTATTTTGTTTAGCTATAAGAAGGAAATTTTACTTACGATTGACTAATAGGTGGGCTACTTTGTTTAGATTTAAGATTATCTGATTGCGGTTGGAGTGGCGGAAAGTTTGCCTTAGCTTGTGGTTTAGTCTTATTACTATACCAAGCGGATGATATTACAGGTTCTTCCACCTTTACTGGACTCTATAATTAATAATTCAATTTTTTGAGGATAATAATTCAGTATTGTAATTCAGGATGACCACTTTTTTCGTAAACAAAATTCCTAGTCATTAAAAAAAATTCCCAAAAAACTATTCTATAAAATTATAGTCAATACAATTGATATTCACATTCATTTTTTATAAAACAGAAGGTTTTTTTTACAAAAACATTTTGTTTTTCAGATCATTAAATTTTAAATAATTAAACCAATAATTATAATCAGTTTTTGAAAAATAATACTGTTTTCTTTTTAAATAAAAACTTTAAATTTACGTTATTTTTCTGGTTTTTTGGTTCAGCGGTCACCCTGTTACTACAATTATTATTATAGATTAATATTTAGCAATTAATTAACATTCTATAAAAGTTTGTTTTATCAGCAAAACCAATTCTTACCTTATTACCAGGACCAAGAGATGGAAATTCTTCTCCAGTTTTATTTACTTTTCGCCCGACATTCTTATTAGATGCATTTGCAGAGATTTTCCCATAAGCATCTTCATCTTCCCAATTTCTCGTGTACTTGTTAGGGCCACGTCTATTTTAATAATAAAGAAAAAACGGTTTTGTATATTGTTCCCTTAAATTCCGTTAAAAATAAATCATTTTTTTCCTCAAAAAGGGTACAAAAAGAGGACAAAAATTTATATGTTTATACAACTTGCATATATAATTCAAAATTTTCTTATAGCTTCTATAAGATTTTTTTAAAATGATTCGATTTTAATAAGAGATTTAATAATTTATTTTTTTTTACTTTTGAAAATAATTGAAGTTTTATAATCATTTGAAACTTTGAATTTTTTAGTGGTTTTAACTAAAATTCCTCGATAAATGAATTATTTTTAATAATTAATTAAATATATTTATTAAAAAGTTTAACTAATTTCAGAAGAATTTGAATTTTGAAATTTTTTGCAAAAATTAAAGTTCTTTAGAATTTCTAAAACAAAATTCATTCAAAATTGAAACTTTGTTGTTAATAATCTAAATCAGAAATAAAACGCACTGAATTCTATAACATTGATTCTAAATTTTATGATTACACTTTGAAAAAGATTTAAAAAAAGGAAAAACTTGCTTATTTTTTATTGAAAAAAGGTGAAAAAGGAGAGAAATCATAAAAGAAGGTGAAAAAGGTGATAAAATTGAAATAAGGGGTACAAAAGGGGAAAAGGGGACCAGCTGTGATGCCTGTGAGTTTAAAAAATAATTCCCTAATTGATAAAATTGAATGTTGTACCCATAACGCCTTCTTCTTCGTGCTCTCGGCGGTCCTTCTTCGTTTCTAATATCGTAACCATAGACGGCAATTAATTCCTCGTGACTTTTCGGTGCTTGCTCAGCATCATTGTACCTATCGTGATTCCATTTATCATCCTTATCTTTCCACACTTTCTTCTCTTTAGAATCCCGTTCCACTTGAGGTTCAACGGCACTTTCTGTCGCTTCCTCGGCAGTTCTGTCGTCATGTTCATAAAATGTACCACGTTTTGGAATGTATTGAGGATTTCGTCGATCTTCATCATCATCTAACTTTCTTTGGGATTTTTCTTCCTCTTGGCCATCGCCACTTTCTCTTAATACACCTTCTTGTGATTCTGCTTCAGATTCACTTCCAGCTGTGTCATACTCTGAATCGTGACAATCCTCAATTGGTCCACTGCTCTGTGGAGCAAAATAATTAATACTCAATAGGTTAAATAGAAATTTTAAGGAAAACAATAATTCAGTTAAATTGGTTTTAAAAGAATAAACTATTAAATTAAAATATAATAATTAATATAAAATTAAAAATTCTGATACATGAAATACTGAAAATTCCGTTGAACCAAGATTTGGTTTTAGGATGAATTCTACGAGATTTCTATTAATTTCATAAATTAAACTAAAATGACATGGTTATTTCAAGTATTACAGAAATCCATACAATGAATTTTATGGAGGTTAAAGTTTTGAATGATCAAATGAACGAAATTTATTTATTTCTTCTTCAAATTAAATTTGTATTACTACAATTATGCGTTACTATTTAAGCAAATTAATTATAATGTTTTTTAAATGTAAAATTTGAATTTTTAATTTGAATTGTAATCAATAAACTATGAAAATATTTTTAACAAAAAATATTTTGTTCATTTGACCGTTCAAAACTTTTTGTTCATGAATTGTATAAAAATAAGGAATGTGTAAAATTTCCAACTAATCGAAATTTTGTAATTCATTAAAATATAAATCGAATGGTAATATTAAATATATATCAAGTTTAAAAACAATTGCAGGGCTCAAACTAGGTCCGTAAATTCCGTAAAAGTTCATAAATTTTCTTAAAGTCCGTAAAAGATAGTTTTTTTTTCAAAAATGTAAGTAAAGACCGTAATTTGATTGAGAAAAAACGAAAAGTTCGTAAATTGTACGATATAATTTGGAGAATTTTAGAGAAATTACAAATGATTGCAGAAATTCAATTATTTTCAAAAATTTTAATAAAATTCTAGGCAAAATTTCAATTATTTTCGAAAATTTTCCTTAATTCAATGATTTTCAATATCTATTATTATAATAAAATTTTCCAAAAGAATTCAATTATTTTAAAAAATGTTAATAAAATTCTACGCAAATATTTAATTTCTATTTTCATAAAATAATGATAATTTCATAGAAAATCAATTATTTACAAATTTAAGAGGCAAATTTTATTCAATAAATTGTTTTTTTTTGTTTTTAAATAATTGAATTCATGAATTCTAGTATAGAATTTTCTAATAAGAATTGATTTTAAAATGGATTTTAGTTAAATAACTTGAATTGTTAAAATTAATTGAATTTTGTAAAGGTTTCAAATTAAAATTTTTGAAAATATGAATTTTTCATAATTTTAATTAACAATTCTGTGAAATTAATTTTTTTGAGAAAGTTTAATTACGCATTTTTTAAAAAAATTATTTGTACTTTTTATTTTCTAATATATATAACACTGAAAATGTAAGAATAATTGGAATTTTGTAAAATTGAATTGTAAACAAATGAATTTGAAAATTCTCAAAGAACTTTTTCAAAAATTATTAAAATTTAAAAATAAAATTTTTCAAAGGAATACAATTTTATTTAAAAAAGAATTTAATAAAATTCTCCGACAGATCTCAATTATTTTCAATTTTTTAATGAAATTTCTCGAAAGAATTTAATTATTTTCAAAAAGTTTTAAAAAATTCTCAGAAATTCAATTATTTAAAACAATTTTAATACAATTCTTCATAATAAATAAATTATTTTCATAAATAATAATATTTTTCAAGAGTATGTAATAATATTCTTCGCAAAAATTAAATATTGTTGAAAAATAATAAAATTCTTCTTTGGGATTCAATTATTTTCACATATATAATAAAATTTCAACGCAGAATTTCAATTATTTTTAATACAATCTTAATCTAATTTCTCGAAAAATGTATTTATTCTTCATAATTTTATTAAAATTCGTTGAAAGAATTCAATTATTTAAATATTTGTTGATAAAATTCTTTATATATTAATAAGGAATTGAATTTTATGAAAAATTGAATGTTTATTAATTATTTAATTAATTATTAATTATATATTAATTATATATATAATTATATTTATTATTATGTTAATTAATTATTCAATAAATTATTTATCTTTGTATTCAAATAATTGAATTCTAGTTGAATTTTTCTAATAAAAAGTTATTAAAAAATGAATTTTAGTTAAAATTTTAGATAAAAATTAAATATTAAAAGTGATGTTTAGAAAATCACTTTATCACGTGAATATTTAGAAAGAATTGAATTTTGCAATTAATTTTTTTTTGAAAAAGTTTTAATAATTTTTTTTTTATATTTTATTAAAAATTTTTATTTTCTAATATTTATTTAATTGAAGAATTTACGAATAATTGAAATTTCGTAAAATTCAATATTGTAAACAAATTTATTTGGAAATTGTCAAAGAACTGTTTCGAAAATTAGTAAAACTAATCGATTTAAAGAAGAATTTTAGTTAAATATTCTTGCAAATAATAATTAAATAGTAAATGATTTTATCACTCGGTCATTTTTCATAATTATAAAACATGAAGAAATCGATCACATCGAGTCGAAGACTCGGAGTTATCGATATCTTCATGTTTTATAATTATAAAAAATTAAATTTATAATTTTAAGTAAAATGTTCTCTTAATGACTCTGACTGGTTATATTTTTGACAGTAATTGGTCTGTCATTTTTGGTCCTTAAAATACGTATTTTTAAATACTTTTACTGAATCGAGCCCTGCAATTGAATCTAAAGTTAATTTATCATTGCAATAATTGAATATTCATATTGTTTAAAATTTTTCATGAAGTAATTTTAGAAATAATTAAATTTCAGATAAATCAAAATACAGTTCTACGAAATTTCAATTTTATTAAAAATATAATAATTTGAGGTTAAAATCGTTAAAAGTTTGGATAAATTAAATTAAAAATAAAAAAAATTTGATTCTTTGAATGTAAAATAAGTTAAGGTGACACGTTTCAGGGTTTTATACTTTCTTCAAAAAAAACGTTCAACTTATTATGTACTTAATAATTTTTACCAGTAAATACTAATTTTCCAGTGTTTACAGACTTGGCTATTATTAAGATTTATCATTTGATTCAGAATAAACTTAAAATAAAAACAATTGCTTAAACATTTTCTAACCTCACTTTAGCTGAATTATGTAAAAAAACAAAAACATTAAAATAAACCAAATTTCAAAGCTGAACATGTCAATTTTATTTGGAACATAAATAAGAATATGATCAGAAGCAAGCAATCTCATCATTCACAATGAAGGTGGGATATAAATTAGTTTTGCTATAAATTCACAAAGAATGAAAAACTTACTTGAGTTTCTTTTGTTGTATTAAGTTCATCATAGGAATCCGAAAGGTCATCTGAATCCCCTGAATTATGAACTTTCCTACGACGACGAGAATCGGACATATTATTTTTATAAATGTATATATATATATCAACTAACCAAGAAGCACTTTTAAACGTTTTATTCTATATCTCGCCAAAAAGAAAGAAGAGTTGAAATTGGTTATCCGGCGGTGACGGTCAATTTTCTGGCATAGTACATACTTTCGTGTAAAGTAGTTAAATTGTTTGACCTCCAGATCAGAAGCAAGAATGGAGCATATCCATGAAAACGAAGAGTAAACATGAACAACTAAATGAACGCGGCAAAAGTTTTTCGGCGACGCAAATAGTGTGGCATGTAGTAGTGTATAAAAGATGGCGCTAATTGTTGATAATGGAATAATGAAGGAGCTTCCACAATAGGCGATAATTTTCATAAAGGAACTTCTACAATATGAGATTGATAGAAAAGGACACAAATATATCTCTGTCCTTTTCTAACTCATGATTTGTGTTCGCAAACGTGTTCAGCAAAGTATGAGTTAAAAAGGGACAGAGATATATTTGTGTCCTTTTCTATCTCATGCATCTTGTTCGGTGAAGAATTAATCAAGTGCATTTGCCAGATATTGTAGAAACACCTTTCTGTGGGGGAAAGGAACAACGCAATTTCGACATTTTACGGTAAAATTTTTTTCTGCCGACAGAGGTGTGAATGCACCCTAAACGGAAGAAAGACTTGGAGAAGGATAAACAATACATCCATCCTTTTCTAACTTATTCTTACGTAATTACGTTTCTATATTCTGCGAAAGGCAGCAGAGCTGTGATCATACCTTTATAAATCTTTATTGGAAATTGGAATGGAAGTGAACTGAAACTGTTTGTAAACAAAACAACGGCATTCATTGTAACTTCCTTAATGATATTGATTTAGTTGATTTTATTTTTTTTTAAATTAATCATTATTTAAGTTGCCAGGATATGCCCCATAACGAGAAACACTTGCCTACTCTTAAAGTAAGTACTCATTTATATTTTCAGCTTAAAGAATAACTTTCAAATAATGCTTTCAGCAAAACGTTCAAAATTCACCTTAATTTAATGAAAACAAATTTTGGTTTTTCTATTTAACTTCATTTTTATTTAAATGTATTATAATTTATTTATTTCTTAATTTTATTTATTATGTATGGCTATTTTTAATACACAATGAGTTGATACATAACAAATAACAATTGTAGCATTAAATCTTCAACTTATTAAATAGCTCTTACTTTCTAGATATATGCATACTTATTTTGGCTAAAAACTGCATTACACTTTTGTTATTATTAACACTTTCTTGATAATTATGTATATTTTTTGTCAATAATATTTACAGTTTATAGTTATAAGTAAATTCAGAAAATCCAGCTCGATCTCGGTTGTTAGATAAGATTAGTTATAAATATTAAAAAATTATTGAATACAACAAAAAGAATATTTTTTTTTGAAAAATTTGTATTTAACAAGAATTTATACTAAAATGTGCCATACTGTAAAAAATGGTTGTATTTAATTTCACAGTTTAAATAGTAAAATTTTATAATGCGGTAAAGAATTCAATTAAAAAATTGTGTAACGATACAGAAAGGTAATAACAATCGTTTATCGTTATGAGGTTAGAAATGCACTATAGTGTAAATTTACAATACTGAATATAGCTACAGCAATACGCATATATACTGTGCATTGTAAATTATAAAAGATTATTATTATTTTCTAAATAAAAAATTTTATATCTTCAAGAAAAAACATCAATTTTTGAATAATTGTAGACTTAAGAATTTAATGAATTCACTTATTAAGTACATAATATTAAATATTCTTGTTTATTTATTCGAAAATTTTAATAAAATTTTTCGCAAGAATTTCATTATTCTCATAAATAATAATATTTTTCAGAGCACTTCATTTATTTTCAATACAATTTTAATAAAATTTCTCGAAAGAATACAATTATTTTAAAAAATATCATTTAAATTCAATTTATTTCAAGAGTTTTAATAAAAATTCAATTATTTTTAACAATTCGGATAAAATTTTTCGAAACAATTCAATTATTTTTATAAATTGTAAAATCCTCCGCAAGAATTCAATTATTTTCATAAATAAGAAAATTCTTCACAAGATTAAATTATTTTCATAAATAATAAAATATTTCGGAGAAATTCAATTATTTTAAATACAATTTTAATAAAATTTTTCGAAAGAATACAATTATTTTTAAAAATATTATTTAAATTCAATTATTTTCAAGAGTTTTAGTAAAAATTCAATTGATAAAATTTTTCGAAACAATTCAATTATTTGTATGAATTGTAAAATCCTCCGCAAGAATTTAATAATTATTTTTATAAATAAGAAAATTCTTCGCAAGAATTAAAATATTTTGAAAAATAATAAAATTCTTTAAAGGAATTCAATTATTTTCAATACAAATTTGATAAAATTTCTGGAAAGAATACAATTATTTTTAAAAATATTGTTTAAATTCAATTATTTTCAAGAGTTGTAATAAGAATTCAATTATTCTCAATAATTCTGATAAAATTCTTCGAAACAATTATTCAATTATTTTTATGAATTGTAAAATCCTCCACAATTTTATCAGAATAAAATTATTTAAAGAAACTCAATTATTTTCAATAATTGTAATAAAAATTCAATTATTTTTAACAATTCTTATAAAAAATTCTTCGAAACAATTCAACTATTTTTATAAATAAAGAAATTTTAATAAAATTCTCTGCTGGAATTCAATTATTTTATTTCAATTCAGCTTTTTATTCAAAACCGACCTCTTAACAAGAGTTTTATTTAATTGTTTAAAAATAATTTAATTTAGCGAAGAATTTTATTATTTATGAAAATAATTGAATTCTTATAAAGAATGTTATTATTTATGAAAATAATTGAATTCTTGCGGCGAATTTTATTAAAATTTTTGTAAATAATAGAATTTTTCTGAAGAATTTTATCATTTATGATAATAATTGGAATTTTACTGGAAAATTTTATAATTTATAATAAAATCACTTATATATTAAAAACTTGAAAGAAATTATTCTTCTTAAATTTCAATTATTTTCAAAATTTTCAATAAACATTAATTTAAAGAAACTTCATTATTTTCAAGAAAATTTAAATGAATTCTTCAAAGCAATTCAATTATTTTATAGAATTTTAATAAAAATCTTGCCAACAATTAAATTATTTTCAATACAATTTTAATTACATTTTCTGGAAAGAATTCAATTATTAAAAATAATGTTGATAAAATTCTTGAAATGAATTTAATTATTTTCAAATTTTTTTATAAATGCTTTACAAGAATTCAACTATTTTCTGTACATCGACAATTTAATTATTTTTGAAAATAATTGAATTCATAGGGAAAATTTACTATTTATTGATATAATTGAATTCTTAAGAAGAATTTAAAAATCATTTAATTTTCCCTGGAGTTCAAGTAAAATTGTATTTAAAATAATTGAATTTCATCTAAAATTTTCTTATTTTTATGAAAATAATTGAATTCATTGAATTGAATTTTATTAAAACTTTTTTAAATAATTGAACTCCTGCGAAAAATTCAATTATTTTTTAAAATAATTGAATTTTTTCGGAGAATTTTTACAAGATTTTTCAAAATAATTGAATTTTTCGAAGAAATCAGTTAAAAATGGAATTGAAAGTAAGTGAAATTCTGATAAGAATTTTATTATTTATATAAAACTAATTTAATTTTTTACGAAGATTTTTATTACTTATAAATTGACTTTTTGCAAAGAATTTTATTACAATTATTGAAAATAATTGAATTCTTCATAAAATTCAATTATTGAAAATAATTGAATTCTTCATAAAATTCAATTATTTTCAAATTTTTTGATAATTACATTACAAAAATTTAATGATTATCAGTACATTAATTTAAAAATTTTAAACATTTAAAAAAAATTATTAAAAAACTTAGGAATAAAAAAAGCAAACAGCAACTAATTTCAAACTGTGAACACATTACCAGAATATAACGATTATTATTATTAATATAGGTTTTATACAAGGCATACATTTTTGTCATTTTTCTCTATAAATAAAAAATATTGTTATTAATCATTGTGTTATATTATGGAAATATAAATTTTTCAGAACACTGAAAGTGGGACTGAATTTGAAAATGACTCGCACAACAATATTTTTCCTTATGACACTACCAAGTACTTAGAAGATTTTGAAGGTAAATTTTAATATAATATTTTTCAATGAATGGCAACATTCTTTACATTATACAAAGCAGAACTGGGTAAAATTTAAAGTTTTTAAAGTGGCATTTCAAATGGAATAAAACTATTTAAAATGCCATTCTAAATATAGGTTTTAAAAACCATTTTACTCAGCTTTGGTACAAAGAGAGTTTTAAACCACTTAGAGTTTAAATAATTTTTTTTCTTAAATTCAACATATTTGTTGAACAATGTTTAAAAAAATAGCAAATCCAAACAATTTATTTAAAATATTTTATTCATTAAAAAATCCTTGCGTGCTCAAATTAGCCCCGGTTGACGGTATGGTTTTACTTAAAATGAAATTAAAACAGATTTTTGTTTTTATTCAGGTGCTAGTGACCAAGATATTGAGGGTATTCTGGAAGCAATGAGTAAATTAGCCGATTCTCTGAGTGCTAGTTCCTTATCAGAGAGCATAGAATGTTCTCAAAAATCTTGTGTTCAGAAGGAAAAATCATTAGAAGAATTGTTATTGGAAGCTACAGAATTGGTAAGAATAAACGCCTACTGTCTATCGGAAGGAGCATTCAAGTCAGATTCAGAGTCTGAAGCCACGGAAAATTTTAGCGCAAGCAAATATGAAACAAATATTTTTGAAAAAATTGAAGAGGAAATTCACAGAGGTTTGCACAATCATCAATATAGTGTTTTTGAAGAAAGCAAAAAACAACTCAGTACTTCTTATATTAGAAACTCGTCGGAAAGAAACGTTACACCTCAGTTATTTGAAAGTGCAGAAAATTTAGACATTCCAAACAACAATTTACAAAAGGAACTCACAGATGTAGACGAAAACTTTTTTGTTCATGTTCTAAGTAGCTGTGCAGCTGATAATGGAAATCATGTTAAATTAGACGCTTTGCATGTCGAAGAAGATGAAATTTTTATGTCTTCCAAACAATTATCATTAGAAAATAAGGAAAATAATTCTACTTTAAACGATAGTCCCAAAATGTTTGATAGAGGCAGTGAAAACTTTTTGCAGAATGCGCCAAATGTAAATACAAAATCCGTCAATTTAGAGGTTTTATCTCTAACGCCAAAGTCCGCGATATTTTCCCAAAACGCTTCCGAGCCAATGAAGGCAACGTCCAGTGAATTTGATAATTTGAAAAAACAAGATACAAATGATAAAAAGGATGATTCACTTTTTTTAACAGCTGTAGTTAATGAAAATGTAATTTTACCAACAAATTCTGTGAACAATGATAACTGCTCCAGTCCAAATAAAAGCACAAATGAAATCTTCCAAAGTTTCAATTGGATTCCTGATACTCAAGAAAAATGTAAAACAAATTTTACTTATCAGAAATCACCAAGAGAAATTCAGCACAAAAAACCTTTTACAAAAGCAAAAGTTGTGTCTAAAAGCAATTTTATTAATAAAGTTAAAATACCTTTAAAACCAAGAAAGGAATTATTTACTTTAAAGAAACAAAATATAGTTTTAAAGGAGAAAAATGAACTTTTAATTAAGAAAAAGCCCGAGTTAATAAAAAATGAAGGTAAATCATCAGTTAAAACATCCGAGGAGATTAGAAAATTAACTGATTCTCATGAAAAGGAAAAAATTGAATTTCTAAAAAACAACGAAACTTTACATAAAGAAATAAACAATTTGCAGCAAGAAGTGATACCAAAAAAATTACAAGAATTACATCGACAAGCTAACGAAATAAAAGAATTACATAAAGAGATTAATAATCTTAATATTGAACTGTCAGAATTAAAACAACAAAATTTGGATTATTTATTAAACTACGACGATACGAAGCAACAAAATTGTTTGTTAAGCGACGAACTAAAAATGTTCAAGGAACAATTGAACGAGAAAAATAACTTTATATCCGAACGACTGCAATTACTAACAACAAGTGAATTGAATCTAAGAAAAGAAATGGAAAACTTACAAAAAGAGTTGAATATAAAAAATGAATCATTAAAAATAACAAAATTGAATTTCGAAAAACTAGAACAAACTATTTTACCAATTGAAAAAGAACTCCTCGAATTGAGAATTAAGGAGGGCAATTTTCAGGAACAATTAAAAGTTGCAAAATGTCATATTGAAAGGGAAAAGCAACTTTCACTTAAATTAAAGAATCAAGTTATTTTAGACAGTAAAAAAATAATGGATTTATTGCGTCAAATACGCGAAATGGAAAGAATAATGATGAAAAAAAATCCTGATTCCATATCCGCATTACTGTCTTCATCAAATACGGAACAGGCTAACATCAATTTGGAAAAAATTAAATTACTAGAAGTTAGGAATGCATCGCTAGAAAATGAAATTAAAATCAAGGAGGAAAGCGCACAACAAAGACTCTCAATTTTTCGAAAGGATTTCGATGAAATGATCAAGAAATACGCTACTCAAATTCTCGATCTCGAGGATAAACTATCAAGTCAATCAATCAGGGAAAGTGAAAATTACATTGACAACAGTACACAAACCGAATCCTTCAATCCTCCGGATGAAAGTGAAAATTTGATTCCAACCGACGAGCAACGAGAACACTTGAGACTCTTGAAAAACAACAGTCTGAAATCGCAAAACAAAAGAAATGACGTACATCTAATTGCGACTATTTGCAAACTGAAATTTGAACTTTCGAATAAAAATAAATCACTCTCAAAATTATCGAAGGAATTCATTGAACTTCAGAAGACAAACCGAAGACTACAAACAGAACGTGAGAAACAATTAAATGAAGCGCGTCTAGCACCCAAGAATGTTAGTCTAAAGAAGAATAATGGTAATACGGGAATTTTCAAATCCAAATCTTCTGATATTAATTATAATAATTCAAATGCCTGTGCAGTTCAATGTGATTGTAAGGATAATGTTCAAAATCGACCGACATCGCATAATTCAAAAAAATATAATCCACTTCAATATCATGAGAATTCTGGGAATAATAGTACTGTGAAAAATTTAACGACTGAGAATAATATTCTTAGAGAGGAACTTTTTAAAATGAAGAAAGATTTTATGGCATTGAAAAATAAAAGGTTGCACGATTTGAATCTACTGCAAGAGGAGCATGAGAGAGAATTAAAAGCCTTTGTACATAAATGTAACGCCAAAGAGGAACAAATAAATATGTTGAAATTGGAGGTGAGTAATATCAATGTCTATTTATAATATGTTTTTACAGGGTGTCTACTGGTCCTTGAAGTCCTGGAATTCCGAGAAATGTCCTGAAATGTTCTGGATTTTTAACTTTTGTCCTTGAATTTTCCATATTTTGCTTTTCAATATTCAATAAATTAAAAATTTTACTCAAATTTAAAAAAATAATTTTTTGATCCATCAAAAAATAATTTCAATTTGTCATTTGATTAAAGAAACTGGTATCTACAATATTGATTTTTAACTCTTTTTTATAATAAAATAAATATTTTTGTTCAAGTAGGTTAATTTAAATTATGAAAATCGTAATATGAAATAATATTACACAGGGTTGCCATAAAATTTAATTTTTATTTTTCCCTGATTTCCAGACAAAATTTTTCACTTTTTTCCTGACCCTAATTTCTTTTTTAAATGAATATTTAATCATTATTATTTTTCTATAGGAATTAAGATTTTCAAATTCAATAACTTATGATAATATTATAATAAATTTAAGCTGACAAAGTAATAAAATCATTATTTTATTTCATAAAAGAATATTGTAACTAAAAATTCAAATTATCAAAGATTTTAATTTTAACTCTTTTCATAATTCAATTATTTCTAAAAATTCAGGCTATAATGTTTTTAATATTCAATTATAATTTTAAATTTTAAGTGAAATTCATTTTTTAATTAATTTTTAGTAGAAAATTTCCAGAGAGTTCAATTATTTAAATACAAAAATAAACAATTTATTCAGGAATTGCATGTTTTTTAAAATTGAATTTTTATGAAGAATTTTTAAAAAATTTTTAATAACAATTCAATTCTTTCGGCGAATTGAAAAAAAAATAGTAAGAATAAATGCAATTTTCTATCATTTTATTTAAAATTTTATAAAAATAATTGAAATTCTGCAATAAGTTTTGTTCTTTATGAAAATAATTTGAATTCTTGCAACGAATTTTATTAAAAATTTTTTTAAAGAATCGAATTCCTGTGAATAATTTTATTTGTAAAAATAATTGAATTCCAGAGAAAAAGATTATTATTTATGAAAATAATTAATTTCTTGTGAAGAATTTTATTCAAATTTTTTTAAATAATTGAATTTTTCAGAATTTTTAAAAACTTCTTAAAAATAATTAAATTCCATCTAGAAATTTCAATAAAAAATTGAAAATAATTGAAATCTGACAAAGAATTAAAAAAATTTTTTTTTAAATAATTGAATTCCTGTAAAAATGTTTATTTTTGAAAAAAATTTAATTCTTGAGAAGAATTTTATTAAAATTTCTTAAATAATTGAATTCCCATAAAAAATGTATTACTTGTGAAAATAATTGAATTCTTAAGAAGAAATGTATTGAAAAAAATTGAATTATATAGGAAAATTTTATTAAAATTGCAATTTAATGAACTAAATCTTGCAAAGAATTTTGTCAACATTTTTTTAAATCATAGAATTATTAAAAGTTTATAAGGCAAATAAAAAAGAAACCAAAATTCAGAATTTTCCTATATAAATTCTAAAAATTTATCTTTTTCCAGTACTTTTAGTAAAAATCCCTGACTTTTCCCTGAATTCCTTGACTTTCCTGACTTGTGGCAACCCTGTTACACATATAAATGTCCTGGAAAAATAAGAAATCTGTCCTGAAAATGTCCTGGAATTTTAAGTCATATTTTCAGTAGACACCCTGTTTTATTATCTAAATTTTTAAATATAGATTGAAATAGAAGCTTTTTCTAATTATTGAAAATGAATCTCAATTGATTTCCAGCTTTTAAATTATTAAAAAAACTATTAAGAAGTAGAAAATTTATATGAATTACTGAATCAATAAAGTAAATTTCAAATTGTATTTCAGTTCACTAATAACACAGGTCAACAAAAAAAGACTAACTTTTTTTTATGAGATATCGGAATGGTTTCCGATGTATTTTTGGACGCTGAACACGATCCCGACTTCCAAAATTGCCCATCACGTCAGGATTTTGAGAAAAGTGGGGGTAAAGACCCCAAAAACGCTTTTTTGAGGATTTTCAACATTTTTTTTCTCTTTAACCTGACGTGCTAGAGACTTCCACAAGGTCTTAAATTAAAGCTTGTAATGTGCACTAGAAGACCCATATCAATAAAATAAAAAAAAATTAGAAGTTTTTTTAAAAAATGGGGTTGAAGGCACCAAAAAGGTGGGTTTTTCGATTGCTTTAATAGACTTCATGCTATTGCTTGGATTCGCTTAAAATTTGTTACTCGGGGTTTTTGGAGTCGTAGATTACGAATCCAAAATTAGTTTTTAAAAATTTAAAATGTCGGAACCAAGATGGCAGATATAAAAATTAAGAATTTCTTGGATTCGCTTAAAAGTTTGTTACTTAAGGGTTTTTGGGATCGCTGATTACGAATTCGCCATTTTGAATGTTTGAAAACTAATATCGGATTTGTAATCAGCGACCCCAAAAACCCTAAGTAACCATTTTCAATCGAATCCAAGCAATTGCAAGAAGTCTATTAAAGCAATCCAAAAACACACATTTTTTAGTGTCTTCAACCCCATTTTTAAAAAAAAATCTTAATTTTTTTTTATTTTATGGATATGGGTCTTGTAGTGCACATTACAAGCTTTAATTTAAGACCTTGTGGAAGTCTCTAGCACGTCAGGTTAAAGAGAAAAAAATGTTGAAAATCCTCAAAAAAGCGTTTTTGGGGTCTTTACCAAAATCCTGACGTGATGGGCAATTTTGGAAGTCGGGATCGTGTTCAGCGTCCAAAAGTACATCGGAAACCATTCCTATATCTCATAAAAAAAATGTTAGTCTTTTTTTGTTGACCTGTGTAATTAAACATATGTGACGAGTATTTGAATTTTCTTTACAACTTGAATTTACTCAAGAGCTCAAAAATATTCGTGTACTCAAAATTATTCGAGCTAGATTTGATTATTATACAGCTAGATTTGGCTCGAAAATACTCGATCGAGCTTTTCTCACAACTCTAGTTAGGGCACAAAATTTCTGAAGCGAGCCACTAATTTTGGATGGAGATATTTTTATATTGCATATCAATAATTTTATAGTATTTTCGTACCTTTCGTACCAAAATATGACCCCAAAGTTGATTTTGCAAAATTTTAATTTTTTTAAGAGTTATTTTTTAAACAATTTTTACGCATCACATTATTGAAAAAATATTTCCTCCCGTTCTACTTGATGGATTTTAATAAAATTTTTTTGAGTAATATTCAATAATCATACTTTAGAACAAAAAATATTTGTTAGATTTTGTTCATAATTTGTTTAAAATTTTGTTTTCCTCTAACTCAGAACTAAATTCCAAAAAGATCTGTGAAAGACGATTTTTAAAATTTTGTTTTATAAATTTTTAATGTTAATATAATGTCTAAAAAAATTATTTTTTAAACTTTTCAATTTATTTTAAACAAAAATTTGTTTACATACTCAATATTGCATACATTTTATGTCTCAGGGTGTGTAACAGTCAAAAAATTGTTTCTAAGATTACAAATTGTTTATAAACAAATTATATAAACAATTACACTCTAGGCGAATATATAGGACTAAAAATAATTTGTTTGTCATTTTTGCGCAAAAATAAATCAAATTTATTACGATTAATGTTTCTTCTAAGTAGTCTAGAGTTTATCCTCATTGAAAATGTTATTTTGCAAATAACTTAATCATTTTTATAAACAAATTATATAAACAATTACACTTTAGGCGCAGTTATGCCTAAAAGAAATTGTTTTTCTTATAAATTTACTGCAGCTTATTGCAATTTCACTTTTTTTTTAATGAAACTGATGTTTTGCGATAATTTTTCTTAATTATTTAAACAATGTCAATAAACTATAGCATTTTAGGGAGATATTTGGACAGAAATAAATGAAATTTTTACAATTAAGTTTTTTTCTAAGCTGCCCAGAGATTATCATCAAAAATAAATTATTTTTTAAATAACTTTATCAGTTTTATAAAGAAATTGAATAAACAATTATATTCATCAAACATTTTTAGTAAAAAATTAATCGTCTGTTTTATAAATTAAGATTAAATTATACGGTTAATTTCTTTTAATGAAAACGAAGTTTTGCTTCAATTTCTCTTATTTTTACAAATAAATAGCATTAACAATTAAATTTGATGAAAATACATTATAATAATCGTAAGTTTCCTTTCCGTTAGCAAATTATCTGCATTCATTTGTTTGTTTTGAAAATTAAATTTTGTGGGTTAAGTATTGTCATTTTTTATATTTTTTAATGTCAAACTTTTTAATGTGTTTTGATGTGTTTCAATGTTTATGTTTTATATTATTATGTGTTTAATTCAATTTTTAACTTTTCAACTATCATTCATTCTGAAGGTAAATACTTTTTTATAATTTAATTTAATGTTAACATTATTTCAATATTATTAAAAAAAGTTATTTGATATAACATTCAATTGAATTTTATTTTCATAAATTTCTTAATCACAGAATATTTAGTTTTTTAACTTTTTAATAATTTTTTAACTTGCAAAACTCTAAATACTGTAATTATTAAAAATATAATATTTATTTTTCATAATTTTTGACAGATATAATTATTATTAGAAATAATTACTATATTATTAAAGACTACAACATAAATTTAAATTATCAAAGTATATTTTACAAAATAGTAATTTAATACAATTTTTATTTCTTATAATTTTCATTACATAAAAATATTGTTTAATATAATGTTAATTTTATAAACTTTTAACATTTTTTTTATGTTTTAAATTAATACGTGATTCATAGAATATTCAACTAATCAATGAAAATATATTGTCAATTTTTTCAATTAAAAATATATTACATCAAATATCTATTCTCTATATTTAAATAATGTTAACATTAAATTATGGACACATACCTGCCGAGTAAATGATAATTATAAAGTTAAAAATTCAATTAAACAACCAATGTATAGAATTAAAATTTTGGGGCTATCGTACGCCTAAAATTTACCTCACATTTTTTTTCGTTGTTTCTAAAAACGAATTTAGAATTTTTTAATTTGATGCTTTATTATATTATATTACATTTTGTAATTAAATAATTAATGCAAGTTATAATTAGTATTTTTACTACAGATTTTTTGTTTTCCAAAGAAATTAGAATTAAAAGTTGTTTAACTTTATCATTTTCAATTAATTTAATTTTTTGAAGTTATGTTAGATTCGAAATATACGGAATTCTTTGTTTAAAAAGCTAAATGAATAATTATTTTTTTAATTTTTAGAATAATTAAAAGTTTCGTTATCAAAATTATTTTTAATTTTTAAATTATTTTGAAAATAAAAGTATAAAATATGTAACAATTTTTGCGATATTCAATTTTCTTCGTACAACAAGAAAGTTTAACAGCAGTAATAGCATTTTAACAAAATTTATCGGATTCACTTGTAATTCGTTTCTAATGCGTTAAATTTGACATTAAATTTTAGAAATTCAAAATAGAACTTCCTTTTCAGGATTCCTACAGAAATCCGAATTTAAAATTCCATACCTTTTCAGGAGGTTAAAGTTTTGAACGTTCAAATGAACGAAATTTATTTATTTCTTCTTCAAATTAAATTTTTATTACTATAATTTTGCGTCACTATTAAGCAAATTAATTATAATGTTTCTAAATGTAAAATTTGAGTTTTTAATATGAATTGTAATCAATAATCTATGAAAATATTCTTAACAAAAAATATTTCGTTCATTTGAACGTTCAAAACTTTTTGTTCATACCTTTTCGATGATTTCCAGGTCAAATTTTTACGAAATTCCAGTGGAATTTTAAATCTAATTTCAATATTTTTGGGCTCTTTAAAAACACTTTACTTATTTAATAGTCTCCACCCTTTGGTAAAAATTCTAAAATTATCAAAATTTATCAAAAATTCGAAAAACCGATTTTTTTAAAATTCAACAGTTTTTCTTCTCTTTGATAGTATTTAGCTTCATTATTTTTGTGCTCTTGGAAAATACTTTAATTATTAAATAGTCTCAACTCTTTGGTAAAAAATCTAAAATTATTTATCGAAAATTATCAAAAATTCAAATATCCGAATTTCTTAGAATTCAACATTTTTTCCTCTCTTTTATGGGATTTAGCTTTATTATTATTTGAATTTCTATTCAAGAGAAAAAATGAAAAACTGAAAAATTTAGAAACTTTTAAAAATTCCAGGCCTTTTCCATGATTTCCCTGATTTCCAGAAGCCTTTTAAAAATTCCATACCATTTCCATGATTTCCATGATTTCCAGATTCTGTAGGAACCCTGCTTTTGTCTGACTTTCTTCTAAATTATCGAATTCAGTGATTTCTGGGGTGAATTTGGTTAAGTTTTAAAATGATTAATTTCTATTTGAATTCGTTTTTTTTAATTTAGAAAATCTGATGTTAATTTAATTCTTTTTTCGTTATGCACGGAAAAAAATATTTAGCTGGATAAACTACAGATTTCACTTTAGTAGCAAAATTTTTCAGTGCTTCAATTAATACTTTCGTTATTCTAGAGAAACTTATTGCTATTTCAAGTAAAACTTTTTTCAGTGTGTAATAATTATTATTTCTTAAAAATGTATTTAAATTAAAATGGGTTTATAAAATAAGCAATGCAAAAGATGACCCAGATACTAATTGGAATTGTTCTATCCATAGTTTAAGTCTAGTAATGTAAATTCTATTTAAATTGAGACCATTGAGTGAAATTATTTGAATTTTAGTTAGTTAAATCTCTTTGTTAGGTAATAATAATTATTTCTTAAAAATTTTTTAAATTGTTAAAAATAAGCAGTTCCATACAACATAGTGGATAGTGTGGCTAGTATTTTAATAAAAGAATGAAACGTTTTTAAAACTTGTTTAAATAAAGCTTGCTAAAATTTTTTTCAGATTTATTTTATTTCTGCCTAAAAATGTCCTTACAGTGCAATTGTTTGTTAAAATTGTTTAAATAATTAAGAAAATTTATTAAGGTCGATAATTCGAAAAATTTGTTTGTTTTAAATTAACATTAACTTAAATCAAACAAATTTTTCGAATTATCGACCTTTCGGCTATTTGAGCATTGTAAGACATGACAATTCGACTATTTTACCATTCTTACAAATAGCTTTTCTGCTACTTGATGATTCTAATAGATGACGATGCGGCTACTTGCTTTTCGGCTTAAATGAAATTCGCTTAATTGCATTTTCGTTAAAATTGGTTCAGGTTAATTTATATTTCGAGAATTTGAAATATCGGTTAAAATTAATTCGAGATAATAAATAATATTCTATTAAATAATAATTTGAACACATTTAATTTAGTAACAGTTCGGTTAGTTATAAATTCGGCAAAACTAGATTTCTTTAAAATTTACATTATTTTGAACCACGATTCGACAAAATAAAATTAGGTTAAATTAAATTTCGGCGATTTTAACTTTCGACAAAATAATAAATTGACCATTTTAAAATTCTATTAGTTATTGTTTAGTGAAAATATAAATTATGTCAAATGTTAATTCGAGAAAATAATTTTCTCAAATTTAATATTCGATAAAAATAAATTCGTAAAGTTAGGATTAGACGTTATAATCTTTATGCTCTTTTCATTTTGAGGCGAATGTATGCATCCTACAATAATTTTGTCCTTCTATCTCACTGTGGAGCGCAGCGAGCGCGGTCACAAAAATATTAAGAACTTTTGACCTAATGCAATAATACTGACTTTTCTTTTCTTTTAAATACTCGTGATTCAACGGGAAATCATAATTGATCAGAAAAAATACAAAAAACAAATTAATTGTTTATAATAATTGTTGCTATTTTAAACAAAAAAATTATGAACAAAATCTAACAAATATTTTTTGTTCGAAAGTATGATTTTGATTATTAAATATTACTCAAACCAAATTTTCTTAAAATCCGTCAAACAGAATGGTAGGAAAAAATTTTTCAATAATAAATAAACAAAAACTCTTAAAAAAATTACAATTTTGCAAAATCAACTTTGGGGTCATATTTTGGTACGAAAATACTATAAAATTATTGATATGCAATATAAAAATATCTCTATTGAAAAATTAGTGTCACACTTCAGAAATTTTGAGCTTGTGTAAAATTGTTTTCAATGCGTAAAATGATTACTTTACGCATTTTTGTTACTGTTTGATGAGAAACAATGAAATAAAGCTTTTAAACAACTATTTACATTCCCATTTTTTATTTTAGCTTCTAGAATTCTTCATTTAACAGTTCCCATACTACACATAAACTTACAGTAATATATTGGCAGTATTGCTGCAAGTTTAGTTGTTTTAGTGTTGCAAAAAATATCGAACTATTTTACTTTGAGGTCTTGTCAAGATTGAAAATGTTTTGAAATTACAAAAGTTATACTACCATTTAGCCAAACATAATAAAATAAAAATGAAAAAAAATATTTTTTAAAACTTCGTAATTGTTTTGAGAATTTTGTTTGTTCCTTATAGAACAGAATTAAAATAACTGAGTTTATTTTTACTGTAGAAACAAAATTAGCAACAAAAAAAATTATAAATAATGATTTTATTTTGTTTAGGTGAAAAAAGTGATTGCAGTTCATGCTAATTCTCATGCGGGATCCAACGTTGAATTGACTGGTTCAGGACATAGACTGCAAATGTTATAACGACTATTTGCTTGAGCTCCACAATACACAAGAAACTCGATTTAGCGGTCGGTTCGGTTCTCGTTCGCTAAATTGAGAATGACGTCACAATTTCAAAGTCGTATTCTGATTGGTGCAGAATACTGTACATCTACAGGCTGAATTTTTGTGTACGCTACTGAAAAAAGGTGTTATTTCTCGCCAGGGTCATTAAATCGAGTACTTTGTGTATTAAGGAGCAAGCTTAGCTTCCAGTCGAACCGAATTGTACAAAATAGATTTATGACTTTATTTATTTATTTGCACAAATTAATTAATCATTTATTGATATAAAAGATTTTTTACAGAGCCTTTTCAAGAATCAGAAACATGTTTTAATAAATTAGAATTTATCAGATTAAAAGAAAATATTTATGAATTTTGCGATGCGATTATAATTTGTTCTATTGGCATAAAGAAATTTAAGGTGGCTCGAAATGTCTTATGTGTGAAATATATTATAATTTTCTTCGCGAAATGAAAGATTTTTTGTTAAAATACATGTACATATACATATATATATATATATTTATTCGTCATTTTATATCTCACCTTTCTTATTTATTATTGTTATTAGTTTTTGATAGTTATTATTTCTTGTATTTGTCATTTTACACCAATAAAATTGTTCAATTACATTTTTACACTATTTTATCTTTATATTTAAAAAATGTCGAATATCGAATAATTATTCTTGACATTAAGGGCATCCTAGAGAAAAAAAATGTTATTAGTTTTTAGGTTTTGTAAATTACTTCTCATTTAAAAAGAAAAGCATATTTCCGGTTAGGATTTTATTTTTGAAATAATAGAGGAATGTACACTGACTGGAGTCACTTCCGCCAAAAATGCAACTTTTTTTACTGTAAAATAAATTCTATTTATTTTAAAAAATAGAATTTTTACTAATAGACCACTTTTTTTTATAGTAACTAAATATCGATGCTCTAACTACCTTAAAAATAGAAAATAAAATTAGAATATGAAGAAAAAATAATTTTAAAATAACTATTGTTAACTTGACATTGAACAAAATCGGTTCTGAGATTTTACTTAAGCGGGTTAATATTTTAGGGATTCAACACTCTTATAAATTATAAAGTTGCAAATATTTCCAACAAATTGTTAATTAGATTTAATTGCGCTGTGTAAATAAATACATTTATGTTTGTAAAATTCAGGAATTTTTTATTAGATAAAAAATCTGTCATTTGTGTATTAATTTCATTCTACATTTGCTTCATATGTCATGTGTTTGTTTGTCTTTATAAAAAACAAATTAATATTTCTAACGTTTTACATAAACTATATTCATATAAGAAGTAATATAGATAATTTTTTTTTTTTAAGTTTTTAGCTTCTTAAAGAAAACTTAATCTCATTGATTATAAAACTAAAAATACTTGAAAAGTCTTTTTTTTTAACTTAGAGACTAATTTATACAGATTGGAATCTGAGCAATAATTGAATATAATTCTATATTTTAATTTTAAAATCATATTTGAGTTTGACTGCCCCAGATCCTCGATATTCCCGTTCTCATCACCTTTTTACCAATAGTTTGTACAATAAATCCAATCTTCTGAAGTTCGTCATGATCCAAAATTTTTCTCCCATCAAAAATATGCGCAGGTTTCATCATATTTGAGTATATTCGTTTATAATCTAATTCCTAAAAATAAATCAGAAATTATTATTATTATGCAAATTACAAACTTTTTTATTTTCAAATTTAAATTTTTTAATAATAATTTCATAATCAAAATTTAAAAAATTCACTTATTAAGTACATACTTAATTATTATTGTTTATATTCTCAAAACTTTTAATATAATTCTTCGGAAGAATTCAATTATTTTTATAAATATTAAAATTCTTCGCAAACATTCAATTATTTTCAATTACTTCAATTTTTTTCTTCTCGTTTCCTTCTGATTATTTAAAATCTTTTTTTCTGTAAAATTCCTTAGAAAATTCCTTCATTTTTAAAACGTTTAATAAATTTCTTGAAAAATATTCAAATATCTTCTTTCAAACTTAAGAAATTTAATTATTTAAGAATTATTAATAAATTAATAAAATAAATAAATAATTCTAAAAGTGATTTAATCACAAAAATTCAATTATTTTCAAAATTTTTAAGAAATTTCTTTGTAAAATATTAAATTATATTCTGTAATAATTAGAAAATGATACAATTTGTTAATAAAAACTTTAATTTTATGACAATTTTTTAATAAAATTCTTGAAAAATTAAATTTCTTTTTATAGAATTTAAAAACTTATTTTTCAGAATTTTAAATACAATTTCTTTAAAGAATTCAACTATATTAAAAAAATTTGATTAAATTCTTTGCAAAATTTCAATTATTTTCATAAATAATAACATTATTCAGAAGAATTAAATTATTTTTATAAGTAGTAAAATTCTTTATAGGAATTAAATTATTTTCAATATAATTTTAATAAAATTTTTTGAAAGAATTCAATTACTTTCTGAACTTCTACTAAATTCTTGGAAACAATTCAATTATTTTTAAAAATAGTAAAGTTTTTCGCAAGAATTAAATTATTTATATAAATAATAAAATTATTCAAAGGAATTCAATTATTTTCATTAATAATAAAATTTCTCGAAAGAATACAATTATTAATAAATATTAATGAAATTCAATTATTTACAAAAATTATGATAAAATTCTTCAAAACAATTCAATTATTATTTTTATAAATTGAAAAATTCTTGAAAGAATTTCAATTATTTTCATAACATTTATTTTAAAACTAGCAAATATTACGAGCGAAACGTGATATTCAATTTATTATTATTATGCAAATTACAAAATTTTCTATTTTAAAATATGAATTTTTAAATAATTTCAGACTCAAATTTAAAAAAATTCAATTATTGACTAATTTACTAATTAATTATTCTTGTTTAATCATTTGAATAATTTTAATAAATCCTTCGAATCAATTCAATTATTTTTTTAAATAGTAAAATCTTGGCAAAAATCCAATTATTTTCAAAAAAATTTCACTAAAGAATTTAATTCTTTTCTTTATTCAATATCAAATATTTCAAAAGAATTCAATTATTTTCTAAAATTTTTATAAATCGTTCGAAACAATTCAATTTTATTTATAAATAGTAAAATTCTTTGCAAAAATTCAATTGTTTTTAATACAATTATTGTAAAAACATTTCATGAAAGAATTCCATTTTTTTAAAATTTTAATAATTTTTTTCGAAAAAAAATCAATTATTTTCTAAAATTTTAATAATTTCTTCGATATAATTCAATTATATTCATAAATAGTACAATTCTTTGCAAAAATTTAATTATATTCAAAAAAATTTCACGTAAAATTCAATTTTTTCTTAATTCCTTATAAAAAATGTCAAAGGATTCAATTTATTATTTTCTAAAATTTTAATAAATTCTTCGAAAAAATTAAATTATATTTGTAGATAGTAAAATTCTCTGCAAAAATCCAATTATTTTTTAAACTTTTAATAAATCCTTCGAAACAATTCAATTATATTTATAAATAATAAAATTCTTTGCAAAAATTCAATTATTTTCTTAATTCGTTAATAAAATTTTCAAAAGAATTTTAATAAAATTTAATAACTAAATGTTTAATTTCAATTATTAACAAACACGATTATTTTAAAAACTTGAAAGAAATTGTTTTTAAAATTCAATTATTTTTAAGATTTTTAATTAAATTTTTTAAGAAACCCAATTATTAAAAAAAAAAAAAAAAAATTCAAACTAGGTTTAATAAAAGAAAAAAGTTACCAGAAACTCATCCCATTCAGTGCATACAACTATTGCGTGCACATTTTTTGTAGCTTCATAAGCATTACTGTAAATACTGATTCTATGCTTCACCAATTCTGGTTCAATTGTGACATAGGGATGTGTTAGATCTTCTATAATTTGCTCCTCTTCAACCTGAAATACAATAAATTTTACAGACTCAACAAATAATGTCAATTTATATTAAAATAATTTCAAGAATAATTCTTAATTGTAGTTAAAAAAATATTTAAAAATACCTTTGGATCATAAATGTGCAATTTTGCACCTTCGTCTAATAAAGTCTTTGCAACATAAATAGCAGCAGATTCTCGTGTATCACCCGTGTTTTTCTTAAATGCAAAACCTAAGAGAGCAATTTCTTTATCCGTAACAGTATTGAATAGTGATTCAATGATTTTAGAGGAAAATCTCATTTTTTGATATTCATTCATGTCAATAACTTGTTGCCAATAGGCTGCTACTTCCGGTAGATTTAAACATTCACAAATATAAACCAAGTTGAGAATATCTTTTTGAAAACATGAACCTCCAAATCCAACTGAAGCTTGTAGAAATTTAGATCCAATTCGAGAATCGAGACCAACAGCACGAGCTACTTCAGAAACATCAGCCCCTGTAGCTTCACAAACTGCGGATAATGAATTAATACTGGAAATTCGTTGAGCTAAAAATGCATTTGCAGCCTAAAAGTAAATATATTCGGAATGAAAATATTTTACATGGCAAATTTTATAACTTCGTTTTTATTTCATTTTTCCCGAGAAGCTAATTAAGTGGATCGATAGCATGCTTCGCGAAAGGGCCCTAGAAGAAGAGTATGGTGTCCACAGGGAGGAATTCTTTCTTCTTTGTTGTGGTGCTTAATGGCCAGGGCTCGAACCAGTTCAAGTATTTAAAAATATGGACTTTACGGACCAATTACTGAGAAAAATATAACCAATTAAAGTCAAATAAGAAAACATTTTACTTAAAACTATAAATTAAATTTTTCATAACTATAAAACATGAAGATATTCATAACTCCAAGTCTTCGACTCGGAGTAATCGATTTCTTCGTGTTTTATAATAATTAAAGATGACCGAGTGATAAAACCATTATCAATTTAATTCTTATTTTCAAGAATTTTGTACTAAAATTCTACTTTAAATCAATTATTTTTAATAATTTTCGAAAAAGTTCTTTAAGAATTTCCAAATATATTTGTTTACAATATTCAATTTTACGAAATTTCAATTATTCGTAAATTCTTCAATTAAGTAAATATTAGAAAATAAAAATTTTAAATAATATAAAAAAATTCAATTAAACTTTCTCAAAAATATTAATTTCAAAATTCAATTATTTCTAAAAATTCACGCTATATTGCTTTTAATATTCAATTATTATCTAAAATTTAAACTAAAATTCATTTTTAAATCAATTTTTATTAGAAAATTCTACTAGAATTCCATTATTAAAATACAAAAATAAATAACTTATTGAATACTAATTGAACGTTTCTTAAAATTCAATTCCCATAAAGAATTTCATCAACAAAGTTTTAAATAATTACAGTTTTCCAGAAATTTGATCAAAATTGTATTAAAAATAATTGAAATTCTGCGATGAGTTTTATTATTTGTGAAAATAATTGAATCCCTAAGAAGAATTTTATTATTTTTGAACAATATTTAATTTTTGCGAAGAATATTATTTCTTTTGAAAATAATTGAATTTCTCCAATAATTTGTAATTTTTAAAAAATGAAATTTTTGTTTTGTGTTTTTAACTAAAATTCTTCTATAAATGCATTATTTTTAATAGTTTTTGAAAAAGTTTTTTGAGAAATTCATTTGTTTCAAACATTTTAATTTGAAACCTTTTCAAAATTCAATTATTTCTAAAAAGACACGTTCTAATGCTTTTAATATTCAATTATAATCTAAAATTTTTATTGTAATCAATTTTTAAATCAATTTTTATTAGAAAATTCTATACTAGAATTCAATTATTTAAATACAAAAATAAACAATTTATATCTGAATAATTGAATATTCCTTAAAATTGAATTCTCATAAAGAATTTTATCAATAAATTTTTAAATAATTGAATTCTTTTGACGAATTTTAATAAAATTTTTAAGAATAATTACATCTTTCGAGGAATTCGATTAAAATTGTATTAAAAATAAATGACATTCTGCAATCAGTTTCATTATTTATGAAAATAATTGAATGATTGCGAAGAAATTTATAAAAAATTTGTAAATAATTGAATTGCTATGGAATTTTTATTATTTTATGAAAATTTAAATATTTGCGTAGAATTTTATTAATATTTTTTTTAAATAATTAAATTCTTTTGGAAAATTTTATAAAAATACTAGATATTGAAAATCATTGAATTGAGGAATGTTTTTAAAAATAATTGAATCTTTGCCAAGGATTTTATTAAAATTTTTGAAAATAATAGAATTTCGGTAAAGAATTTTGCTATTTATAAATTTAACTGAAATTTTAAAGAGATTTTAAAAAATTGAAATACTGCGATGAGTTTTATTATTTATGTAAATAATTGAATTTCTAACAAAAAAATTTTATTATTTATGCGAAAATAATTGAATCCCTGTAAAAAATGTTTTTATTTATGAAAATAATTGAATTCTTTTGGAAAATTTTTGAAAATAATTGTAAGTTTGTCAACAATTTTATTAAAATTTTTGAAAATAATTGAATTCCTAAAAAGAATTTTATTATTTACGAAAATAATTTTATCCCTGTAAAAAATGTTATTGTTTATGAGAATAATAGAATTATTGCGAAGAAATTTATAAAAAAATTTATAAATAATTAAATTTCTATGAAAATAATTAAATGTTTGCGTAGAATTTTATTAAATTTTTTTTAAATAATTGATTTCTTTTGACAAATATTAAAATAGTAGATATTGAAAATCATTGAATTGAGGAAAATTTTAGAAACTAATTGAATTTGCAAAGAATTTTATTTAAATTTTTGAAAATAATTGAATTTCGAAGAAGAATTTAATTATTTCTAAAGATAATTGAAATTTTGACGAGAATTTAAAAAAAAATTTTAACATAATTGAATTGGTGCAAAGAATTTTATTACTTTTGAAAATAATTGAATTTCTCCAATCATTTGTAATTTCTCTAAAATTCTCCAAATTATAATCAAATTACGGATTTTACGGACCTTTTTTAAAGAGAAACTGACCTCAAGCAAATTTATGGACCTTTACGGGATATAAGAATCTAGTTCGAGCCCTGAATGGCAAATGTGTTGTTTAGAAATCTCAATAGCCAGGGATATTATGCATAAAGATTATTTTCTTATAATTGAGCTGCCGGATCACAGAAAGGCACATAAACAATAACGATGACATTAACAATACTGCAAAAAGTATAAGTGTGCGAACTGGATTGGGGAAGATATAAGTTACAATTAACTTATTTCCAACTCTACTAATGCGACATTTAAACGCAGGAAATCTAAAAAAATAGTTAGAAACTATATTTAGCATCGTTTTGACTTCATTATGCAGTTATTATGGAATATGGGCATTATGGTGTAAATGAATGTCAATTCATTTGAAATATAGGGTTCAGAAGGTGTTAAAAGATCTGTGAACATAATAGTTTTCCACTTCATGAAATTTAAAGAAATTATGCAACTATGCGATTTGCATAAAGTTACCATCTCTAAATATCAGTATGGAAGGTTATGTACCAGATGATTTTAAAACCCAGATTTCTACATGTTTGGTTGTTTGCCGGTATAGAATCCAGTTCGAGCTCGGTTAATTAGATTACATAAGATTATTTCATTTTACAACTAACCAACTTTGAAAGTTCGGAACTCCAAGTGTTCATCGTTATAATATTTTTTCGTGGTAACCAATGCTCGTAAACTTTGCTTAATTTTTCTATTGCAGCTTGACCCTCAGTAGAATCTTCACCTCCAATCAATACTCGATCGGCATTAATTAAGTCATTTATAGCAGTTCCTTCAGCCAAAAACTCTGGATTTGAAAGAATCTATAAATTGAAAGGAAAATTGAATAAAAATGCTTCCTGAAATATTGGACAATCAGATTATGTTTAAGTATTTTCTACCTGATATGATACACCTGGCTTGTGATTGGCTCGCAATATTTTCATAATACTTTCAGCAGCACGAACAGGTACTGTACTTTTTTCTACAACAATTTTATTCTCCGTTGCAATTTCCGCAATCATTCTTGCAGCGTTTTCAACGTACTTCAAGTCGGCCGCTCTTCCTTTACCAATGCCAAATGTTTTTGTTGGTGTATTCACGGAAATGAAAATAATGTCTGCTTCTTTAATTGCTGTTTCAATGTCTGTTGAGAAAAACAAATTGCGTCCTCGACAATTTTTCACCACTTCATCTAAACCGGGTTCGTAAATTGGCAATTTATCCGAATTCCATTGAGCTATTCTATCTTTGCTTTTGTCAACGACAGTAACTTGAATTTCTGGACACTTTAAAGCAATAACACTGCACGTTGGTCCACCTACATATCCAGCTCCAATACCACAAATTTTCTTAGTTGTCGTGTTATTCATTTTTCTGAAAAAATAGAATCAAAATATTTTATCATTTTCATTAAAATACATAAGATATTTTAAGTTCAAATCGACATTCAACATTTAAAACATGAAAAAAGTACACCTTTTAAAAATATACTAACAATAGGTAGGGAAAACTAGTCTCAATTATTTTATTTCCTTAACTAGCAAATGATACGCGCGGAACGCGGTAGTCCATTTCTTATATTAAATATTCTTGTTTGTTATTATTCAAAAATTTGAATAAAATTTGTCGCAAGAATTTCATTATTTTCATGAATAATAAAATTCTTTAAAGCAATTCAATTATTTTTCAAAATATTAATTTTCGATTATTTTCAAGAATTTTAATATAAATTCAATTATTTTCAACAATTTTGATGAAATTCTTTTAAAAACATTACTTTCAAAATTTTTAATAAAATTCAAAAGAAAATCCTCCACAAGAATTTAACTATTTTTACAAATAAGAAAATTCTTCGCAAGAATTAAAATATTTTCATAAATAATAATAACATTTTTCGTATGAATTCAATTATTTTCAATACAAATTTAATAAAATTTCTCGAAAGAATACAATTATTTTTAAAAATGTTATTTAAATTTAATTATTTTAAAGAGTTTTAATAAAAATTAAACTATTTTCAACAATTCTTATAAAAAATTCTTAACTATTTTTATAAATTATAAAATTCTTGGCGAGAATTAAATTATTTTTATATATAAAAATTTTTTAGTAAAATTCCCTGCTAGAATTCAATTATTTTATTTCAATTCATCTTTTTATTCATAACTGAACTCTTAACAAGACAAGAGTTTTATTTAATTCTTTGAAAATAATTGAATTTTTACAAAGAATTTTTTTATTTAAGAAAATAATTTGAATTATTGTGAAGAATTTTATTATTTATGAAAATAATTCAATTCTTGCGGCGAATTTTATTAAAATTTTTGTAAATAATTGAATTTGTCAGAAGAATTTTATCATTTATGATAATAATTGAAATTTAAATAACTGAAGAATTTTATAATAATTTATGATAAACACGATTATTTTAAAAACTTGAAAGAAATTATTCTCCTTAAAATTCAATTACTTTCAAAATTTTCAGTAAAAATCATTTTAAAAAACTTCATTATTTTCAATAAAATTGAAATAAATTCTTCAAAAAAATTCAATTATTTTAAAGAATTTTAATAAAAATCTTGCTAAGAATTAAATTATTTTCAATACAATTTTAATTACATTTTCTTGAAACAATTCAATTATTTAAAAAAATGTTGATAAACTTCTTGAAATGAATTCAATTATATTCAAATTTTTTAATAAATACTTTACAAGAATTCAATGAATTTCAGTACATCAAAAATTTAATTATTTATGAAAATAATTAAATTCTTGAATAGAATTTTATTAAAACTTTTTTAAATAATTGAATCCCTGACAAAAAATTTATTATTCCTATAATTAATTAAATTTTTGCAAAATTTAAAAATATAAGTGAATTTTTGAGAAGAACTTTATTAAAATTATATTTAAAATAATTGAATTCCTGTGAAAAATGTACTATTTATTGATATTATTGATTTCTTTCGAAGAATTTTAAAAAAATGTTTAAAAATAATTTAATTTTCCCCAGAATTCAATAAAAATTGTATTTAAAATAATTAAATTGAATTGAATTCTTCAATTGGATTTTATTAAAAGTTTTTTAAATAATTCTTGGAGAATTTTTACAAGATTTTTAAAAATAATTGAAATTTTCGAAGAAATTCATTAAAATTGTATTAAAAAAAATAAGTAAAATCCTGATAAGAATTTTATTCTTTATATAAAAATAATTGAATTTTTTACGAAGATTTTTATTATTTAAAAATTGACTAAAGAATTTTATTACAATTGTTGACAATAATTAAATTCGTCATAATATTCAATTATTTTCAAATTTTTTTATAAACACTTTACAAGAATTTAATGGTTATCAATACATTAATTTAAAAATTTTAAATATTTAAAAAGAGAAATTATTAAAAAATAAACAACAACTAACTTTAAACTGCGAACAAAGTACCGGAATACAAAGATTATTATTATAGATAATAGATAAAAATGACATTGGGTGTAATATAATAAACTGAAAGAAACACAGTTACATTATACTGTCATGATTGCTTTTCATTCTAAGAGGGTAACTTTAAATCATTTAATGATATAAACCAATTTAAACCATTTATCTTATCTGTATATTATCTCCTTGTTCAAGGCTAGAAATAATTATAGGAAAATAAATGATTTAAGGTTATTTATCCATGTTTTGAAAAATTTGTTGAAGTGCAGACTTTGCACTCGATAATTAATTTTAAAATAGTAGCAAAATGTAGCTTTCAAACTAAAAAAAGTAGATAAAAAGTAGCTATCGACAAATTAAACTTGACGACCCAAAAAACTCGTTTTAGACACTTCACAACAAAACTAACAAAAATTCCATTCTATATTTTATTTTCCTCACTTTTTCCTAATTTTCATCAAAAATGTTTTATGAAAATAATTGAATTTTTGCGAACGATTTTATTAGAATTTTTTAAAATAATTGAATTTACAACTTTTAAAAATAATAATTGAATTCTATCGAAGAATTATTAATGTAAATAATTGAATTCTTGGGAATAAGAATTTTATTAAAATCTAAAAGAATTATTGAATTATTTCAAAAAAATTTAATCAAAAGTAAAATTAAAATCAATAAAAATTGATTTCTTTCGAACAATTTTAATAAAATATTAGAAAATAATTGAATTGCTGTGAAAAATTCTAATATTTTTGTAAATAATTGAATTCTTCCTAAGATTTAAAAAAAAAAAATTCATTTAAATAATTGATTTTTTCGAGGAATTAAAAATCAATTCTTAATAATAATTACATTTTTTTAGCAATTCCTATAAAATTGTATTAAAAATAATTGAATTCCTGAGAAGAACTTTATTATTTATGAAAATAATTGAAATAAATAAAAAGTTTAAAAAGAATTGAATTCTTGTGCTGAACATTGTTATTTACAAAAATAATTGAATTTTTGCGAACGATTTTATTAAAATACCTCAAAATAATAGAATTTTAGGGGAAAATTTTGTTATTTATCTTTAATAATTGAATTCTTTCGAAGAATTATTTATGTAAATAATTGAATTCAAAGTAGAATTTTATTCAAATCTAAAAGAATAACTGAATTATTTCAAAAAAATTCAATTAAAATTGTATTTAAAATAATTGATTTCTTTTGAACAATTTTATTAAAATATTAGAAAATAATTGAATTCCTGTGAAAAATTCAAATATTTTTTGTAAATAATTGAATTCTTCCAAAGAATTTAAAAAAACCATTCTTTTAAATAATAGATTTTTTCGAGGAATTAAAAATCAATTTTTAATAATAATTACATTTTTTTTAGCAATTCCTATAAAATTGTATTAAAAATAATTGAAATCCTGCGATAAATTTTATAATTTATGAAAATAATTGAATAGTTGGTAAGAATTTTATTAAAATTTTCAAAAATAATTGAATTCTTGGGAAGCATTTTATTATTTATGAAAATAATTGAATTATTGCGAACGATTTTATTAAAATGTTTAAAAAGAATTAAATATCTGTGAAAAATTTCGTTATTTTTGAAAATAATTGAATTCTTCATAAGAATTTTATAAAAATTGTTTAAAATAATTAATTTTTTCGGAATATTTAATGAATATTATGAAAATTTTATTTTAAGTAATTGAATTCTTATAGAAAACGTTTTATTTGTAAAAATAATTGCATTTTTTGATTAATTGAAAATAGTATTAAAAATAATTGAAATTCTTCGATGAGTTTTATTATTTATGAAAATAATTGAATGCTTGTTTAGAATTTTATCAAAATTTTTTTTTTAAAATTGAATTTCCATGAAAAATGTTATTATGGGTGAAAGTAATTGAATTATTGTGAAGAATTGCATAAAAATTTTGTTAAATAATTGATTTTTTCGAAATTTTTTTTTTTGAAATGCTATTCTAAATTAATTGAATTCTTGTGGGAATTTTATTATTTATGAAAATAATTGAATTTTATCAATTTCTTTTAAAAATAATTCAATTTTTTTGCAAAATTTTATGAAAATAATTGAATTTGGAATATTTTTTTAAAATAATTTAATCGTTTTAAAGAATTTGATTACAATTTTTGAGAATAGTTTTTTTGATTTCTAGTATTAGCGAATTTAAAGTAGTGGAAACTCTCAAGAAACCCAAAAATAGTATCTTTTAGTGACTTAAATCTAAAAAAGTACCTAATTAGTAGCATAACGTAAAAAAAGTAGTAAATAGTAGGTTTTAGTAGATGAGTGCGAAGCCTGCAAGTGTCACATTTTATCACAATTATTTCTACACACGTAAACAACGTAAATGACTTCTGTAATACTAAATTGACTAAATACAATTTAAAAGTCTTTATACTTCAGTGGGTAACTTACGACAGCTCTTCCTTTCTTCTTTAATTCCTGTTTGATAATATTTCGAGGCAATATACAAAATAACTTTTAAAACATTTTAATACACAGACAGACGGAAAATTGAAACGTGGTATGCATACGTATATTTACATCAGTATGACACTGCCATGAATAAGTTGACAGGATGTTGACTGCCGCCACCGCAGCGCTGACTGTCAGAGGGCCGATATGAACTTATGAAGTGAAAATACCAAACAATTTCATTTTCACCATTTTCACTCCTTAAAAGTTGTGTTATCCTACTTATGAATTAATTAGAAAAATAAAACCTTTTACCTCTAGCGCGAGACCGTTGTATTTCGAATAAATTCGCTGCTTCTATGAAACTATAGAAGCGCCGTCAGTGTTCAGAAATTCAACATCGTCTTTAGATTCTAAAGTGTTGCATGAATAAAATTCAGTGAGACGTCTATTATTTCTATTCTTCCCAAATGTCTATGGTTTAGTCACATGTGTTTGTAGTTTTTTATTAAACAAAAAATTTTATGGATCATTGTTTTCTAGTTAAACTTTTTTTTATTTCTTTATTAAAGATAGATTAAAAAAATTGAGAAAAATTTTTAAAATCGTGAAAATTTATACAAATTGTAGTATTTTCTACATTCTTACAAATTCTATTCTACAATATTATATAGTTGAAAAAGTGGAGCAAGTGCCATGATTATTATTTTAACAGACGTATGTCTAAAAAAAATTAATAGTGTCAATTGAACCAGTATCGTTAAGTTTCATTTGAAATTAGTATTTTGACAAACTAACTTTTGTGAAGATGACTTCTTCCAGCTGGGCGAGTAGTATTATCAGTAACCCAATTCCGAAATGGCAACTTGCCTTGGTTGTTGGTGCACCGGTTGCCCTTGGACTTGGTTATGTATATTACAAGAATAATTCGAAACCCTCGTTAAAACCTACTAGAGATCAATTGAAGGATGGTGTTAATGAACATTTGACAAAATCTGACAAGCAAATATCCATTGATGGTGATGTCACTTCCAGTTCAGCGGAACCTCCAAGTGAGGTTAAGTCTTAAATGTCGCATTTTATATTATTATTATTACTGTATTTTTAAATAATTATTTTATTTCAACTATTCTGATTTTAAATGATCATACATTTTCTATTTTTCAATATAATTATGAGTCAAATCTAACAATTTTTTTCAGATTAATTATTCTCTATAGATGAAATATAAAGATTTTTCTTTAAAATTCTACAGTTATTTTCAAGAGTAATAATATTCTTCGCAAAAATTAAATATTGTTCAAAAGTAATAAAATTTTTGTTAGGGATTCAATTATTTTCACAAATAATAAAACTCATCGCAGAATTTCAATTATTTTAAATACAATTTTAATCAAATTCCTGGAAAAATGTAATTATTCTTAAAAATTTTATTAAAATTCGTCAAAAGAATCCAATTATTTAAAAATTTATTGATAAAATTCTTTATCAGAATTCAATTTAAAGAAATATGCAAATATTCAATAAATTTTTTTTGTATTTAAATAATTGAATTCTAGTAGCATTTTCTAATAAAAATTGATTTAAAAATGAATTTCAGTTAAAAATTTAGATAATAATTGAATATTTAAAGCAATATAGCATGAGTTTTTAAAAATAATTGAGCTTTAAAATTCATTTTTTTGAAAAAGTTTAATTGAATTTTTTTAATATTATTTTAAGTTTTTATTTTCTAATAATTTTTTAATTTTAAAGAATTTGCGAATAATTGAAATTTTATAAAATTAAATATTGTAAACAAATGGATTTGAAAATTTTCAAAGAACTTTTTCAAAAATTATTAAAAATAATCGATTTAAAGAACAATTTTAGTTAAAATTTTTTGTAAATAATAATTGAATATTGTAAATGATTTTATCACTCGGTCATCTTTAATTATTATAAAACATGAAGAAATCAAATCTAAAAATTCTTTTCAGAATCATTATTCTCTATAAATGAAATGTAAAGATTTTTCTTTAAAATTCTACTCGAAAAAGAGTAAAATATCGAGTTTTCATGTTTTTATTTTATAGAATTGTTCAGAGTTGCTACGCAACCTGGAAAACTGGAAAACCTGGAAATGTCAGGGAATTTTATAAACCTTGAAAAATTCTGGAAAAATCTGTGAATTTTGATCGGAATCCTGAAAAATTGTTGCTTTCTAAAGTTATTGTGTTTATTTTTTTAAATCTAATACAAAACCTTCAAATTTTTCTATTATTCTGACAATAATTTCTTTTCAAATTAAAAACTTGAATTTTGGAGAAGTTATAAATGATTCCAGAAATTCAATTATTTTCAAAAGTAATAAAATTCTTCTCCGAAATTCAATTATTTTCAAAAATGTTAATAAAATTCTTGGCAACATTTCAATTACCTATTTAAATAAAATTCGATTTTTTACGAATTTTTTATTAATTTATTCGCAATGATTCAATTATATATTTTTGTCAGTAATTGGTCCGCAATTTTTCACTTTTGGTCAGTAAAGTCCGTATTTTTAAATACTTTCACTGGTTCGAGCCCTGAAATGTTTGAAAAAATTATTTTCAACCTTACTCGATACAATTGTACATAAAGAAAAACATTTAAACTATTATTAATTTAATTATTTAAAAACAAAAATTTCATTTTATTCATTGGTGATTATACAGTATTGAAAAAAAAGATTTCAAAAATCGAGGAGTGATTTTGAGAAAAAATTTAAATTTCATCTTAAATGCCCTCTAAAAAAGAGGTTTTAATTGTTTAAAATAATTTTCCTGAAAAAGGCAAATGATTATTCTTAATGTAGCTATTTTATTTTAGGATCCTATGAAGAAAGCTCAAAAGTTCAAAGAAATGGGTAACAAATACTTCAATGATGGAAAATATGATGAAGCAATTTTGCAATATTCTAAAGCGATTGAAACCTGTTTAGAGGGAAATCCTACAGAACTTTCTATATTTTATCAGAATAGAGCAGCAGCATATACTAAATTGGTATACTTTTTAAATATTTTTATTCATTCCTTTAAACAATTTACATAATAAATAATTTATTGATAAGAAAAGGTTCTTAGTTTTTTAATAGTGTGCGGCTCGAGCTTAAAATTAAAGGGTTTCGGAGCAGCCTCACCGAATTACCATGTAATTTTAAGCTGGAGTGGCACAGTATTTATATTTCTTCATAAAACTGGAATGAAATTTAATAATTTTGTGAAAATCGTCTATATTAATAGATATAATAGTATGTTTTTCAACTATTTTTATTAAAAAAATAATTGTTTTAAAGAAAAAATATAGTGCAGTGAAGGCGGATTGTAGTAAGGCTTTAGAGCTAAATCCCAGATATATAAAAGCTTTGATACGAAGATCTCATGCTTTAGAAGAATGCAACGACCTAGAAACAGCCCTAGAAGACATTACTGCTGCTTGCATTCTTGAGCGGTTTGCAAATGAGCATTCATTATTTTTTGCTGATAAATTATTAAAAGAACTTGGTAAGAACACAGCTCATTACTATTTAATAATATTAGTTTTTAAATTAATAATTAATATTCAAATATTTCAACATGTTATTAAAATAAACTTTTTTAATTTCTTTTTTTGAATTTTCTATTATTTCCAAAAAACAAATTCAAGAAAGTAATTGTTCAATATGCTTGCGTAATAGAAAAATAAAATTATAATTTATTATGAACTTATAATTTTACAGGTAGACAACATGCTCAAGAATTTATGGCGACAAAGGAACCGGTCATGCCTAGTAAACATTTCATTAAAACATACTTCGAAGCTTTACGTAATGATCCAATTCTAAAAGAATACGATATAATATCTCAGAATCTTACATCGTAAGTGAAATTAATGTTTTATTTTCTGAACTCAATAGTTTTAGAATTATAGTTTTCAATTTTAAAATTAATGTACCTACTGAAAATCATTGAATTCTTGCAAGGTATTTATCAAAAAATTTTGAAAATAATTGATAGTTACAAAGAATTTTATTAAAAAACTTTTGAGAACAGTTGAATTGTTTACAAAAATTTGATTACAATTTTTAAAAATAATTGAACTTATCTTGAATATATAATTGAATTTTTTCCTAGAAATTTTATTAAAATTGTATTGCAAATAATTTTTTATCTTGCTAAGAATTTTATTATTTACGAAAATAATTGAATTCTTACCAAGAATTTTACAATTTATACAAATAATTTAATTGTTTCGCAGTATTTGTATAAATTGTAAAATTCTTGACAAGAATTAAATTATTTTCGTAAATAATAAAATTCTTGGCAAGAAATTAAATTATTTTAAATACAATTTCAATTGAATTCTAGGAAAAATTAAATTATTTTTAAACATTTTTTTTAAATTCTTCGAAAGAAATCAATAATATCAATAAATAGTAATTTTTTTAAACAGAAATTCAATTATTTTAAATATAATTTTAATAAAATTCTTCTCAAAAATTCACATATTTTTTAAAATTTTGCAAAAATTTAATTATTTGCAGAAATAATAAATTTTTTTTGCTGGGAATCAATTATTTAAAAAAGTTTTAATAAAATTCTATTTAAGAATTCAATTATTTTCAGAAATAATTAAATTTTTGATGTACTGAAAATCATTGAATTCTTGTAAAGTATTTATTAAAAAATTTGAATATTAAATTTATTTCAAGAATTTTATCAACATTTTTTCAAATAATTGAATTGTTTCGAGAAAATGGAATTAAAATTGTATTGAAAATAATTTAATTCTTGGAAAGATTTTTATTAAAATTCTTTAAATTATTGAATTTTATGAATATTTTCTTTTAAGTTTTTAAAATAAAATCGTATTTATCATTAATTGATTAACGATTTTCCTATTAAATTATATTACAATTATTCATAGAAAATTAAATTCTTTTAAACAATTTTATTAGAGTTTTAGTAAATAATTACATTTTTTTAAATTTCATTAAATTTCGTAAAAAAATAATGTAATTTTTTAAAGTAATTTTAATTCAAAATTTTGAAAATAATTGAAATTTGCAAAGAATTTTATTAAAAACTTTTGAGAACAATTTAATTGTTTACAAAAATTTTATTACAATTTTTAGAAATAATAATTGAACATATTAGAGAAATTTTATTAAAATTATTTTGAATATAACTGAATTTTTTTCCAAAAATTTAATTAAATTTGTATTGAAAATAATTTAATTTAAATTAGAACTCTTGAAAATAATTGAATTAAAATAATATTTTTATAAATAATTGTATTCTTTCGAGAAATTTTTATTTAAATTGTATTTAAAATAATTGAATTCCTCCGAAACATTTCATTATTTATGGAAATAATTGAATTCCTTTAAAGAATTTTATTATTTATGAAAATATTTTAATCTTGTGTTGAATTTTCTTATTTATGAAGGTAATTGAATTCTTGCGGAGGATTTTACAATTCATAAAAATAATTGAATAATTGTTTCGAAGAATTTTATCAGAATTGTTGGAAATAATTGAATTAAAATAATATTTATTAAAAATAATTGCATTTTTACGAGAAGTTTTATTAAAATTTTATTGAAAATAATTGAATTTCTCAGAAGAATTTTATTATTTACGAAAATAATTGAATTCTTGCAAAGAATTTTACAATTTATACAAATAATTTAATTATTTTGAAGAATTTTATCAGAATTGTAGAAAATATTTGAATTTTTATTAAAACTCTTGAAAATAATTATTGATTTTAAATAATATTTTTTTTTTAAATAATTGTTTTCTTTTGAGAAATTTTAATAAAATTGTATTTAAAATAATTGAATTGCTCTTAAAATTTTGTATTATTTATGAGAATAATGAAATTCTTGCGAAAAATTTTATTAAAATTTTTGCGTAATAATAAACAAGAACATTTACTGTAATCTGTAATTATTATGTACGTGAATACGTGAATTCTTTAAATTTTGAATCTGTAATCATTCAAGAATTGATGTTTATTCTTGAAAATATAACATTTTTTTAATTTACAAAATAATAATAAATGAAATACATTTACTAGTTGCTAGTCATTTGGTAGTTTCTTTATTAAAGTATTTATATTTCAATAGTAAGTTATTAATGTTTTAAAAAATAAATAACGAAATATTTTGTTTTTCTTTAGGGACTTTGTAAAATCATAATTCATCAGACACTCTGTATCAAAAATATTAGATTAGAAAAATATAAAGACCAATTAAAAGTTCATTAGATTCACTTTCAAAAATTCTGAAAATACACAGTGTTTAACATATTATGAATAAAAATTTCTTTTTTTACAGAATAAAATTTATTTAAAACATACTCTCATAGCGATCGTTTTTTGTTGGTGAAACGGTTTGAAATAGCATTCAAATCCCATATATTATTATTCAGAATAGTTAATTAGTAACTAATAATTCATGACTTCATGTTGTTTTGTTAGGAATTTTCCTATTAACATTTACAGTTGTTTTAATTAATTAACCTTACACAATTTCCTATTTCAGTGAATACGCAAAGGCAGTACAATGTGTAAAAAATCAAAATTATGAAAAAGTCATTCCACATTGCAATAAAGAATTAGAGAGTTTGCAAGCAGACAGCACGTCAGACCTTAAAATGAAAGTTCATCTACTCCGAGGTACATTTCATCTGCTGCTTGGTGAACACGATAAAGCAATGTCTGACCTTAATACGGTAATAATGAGTGATTCTGCCAATAAGGACCTGAAAGTAAATGCCTTAATTAAGAGAGCCAGTATGCATGTTCAACTTGAGAATCCAGAAAAGAGTTTTTGTGACTTTTCTGAGGCAATTGAACTTGATTCCAATTGTGGTGATATTTATCATAATCGTGCGCAAGTATGTATAATAAAGTGAATTTTTTCTTTTCTCTTTCACGCAGTATGTAATAAATACATAATAATAATAATAATAATAATAATAATATTTTATACAATTGTCAATATAGGTGAATCTTCTATTGGAGAGAATAGATGAAGCTAAAGCAGATTTTGAGAAAGCGGCTCAACTTCATCCAAATTCTGGTCTTTTTTATGTACAAAAATGTTACGCGGATTATCGCTATGCAACTACAAAGAAAGATCAATATTTATTGCAATCATCAATGCAAGATTTTCAAAAGGCATTTGAAAAATTCCCAGATTGTTCAGAATGTTACACATTATATGCACAGGTATGTTTTTTGAAAGTCCATAAAAGTCAGTTTTTTTACAAAAAAGGTCCACAAACTCCGTAATTTGATTGAGAAAAGACGAAAAGATCGTAATTTGTACGATATAATTTGGAGAATTTTAGAGAAATTACAAATGATTGCAAAAATTCAATTATTTTCAAAAGTAATAAAATTCTTCGCAGAAATTCAATTATCTTTATAAATAATAAAATTCTTGTCAAAATTTCAATTATTATCTAAAATTTTAATAAAATTCTTGGCAAAATTTCAATTATTTTCAAAAATTTTCCTAAATTCAATGATTTTTAATATCTATTTTATAAAAATTTTACAGGAATTCAATTACTCACAAATTTTTTATAAATTTCTTCGCACCAATTCAATTATTTTTAATTTTTTAATGAAGTTTCTCAAAAGAATTCAATTATATTATAGTACATATATTCGGACAATTTAAGAAAATAGCTCTGAAAAATTCAATTATTTTGAAGAATTTAAATAAAATTCTTTAAAAAATTCTATTGGGTATTTAAAAAAAATTTGACAACATTCTTTACAAGATTTAGTTAATAAAATTGCAATTTTAATAAAATTTTCCGATATAATTCAATAATTATTTTCAATACAATTCTTCTTAAAAATTCAATTATTTTCACAAATAGCAAATTTTTTATGGAAATTCAATTATTTAAAGATATTTGAATAAAATTCTTCCCAAGAAATCAATTATTTCCATAAATAATAAAATTTTTCTCGGGAATTCAATTATTTAAAAAAATGTTGGTAAAATGCTTTATAAATTTGAAAATATATAATAAAATTGATCATAGAATACAATTATTTTCGTAAAATATAACATTCTTCCTAGGAATACAATTATTGTCAAAAATGTATGTAAAAATCTTCGAAACAATTCAATTATTTTGGTAAATAATAAAATTCTTCGAAGCAATTCAATTATTTGAAAAATTTTAATAAAATTCTTCCCAAGAATTCAATTATTTTCACAAATAAAATTCTTCACAGGAATTAAATTCTTTAAAAATATTTTTAATAAAATTCGTTGCAAGAATTCAATTATTTTCATAAATGACAAAACTTATCGCAGAATTTAAATTATTTTTTATACAATTTTAAATAAAATGATAGAAAATTATAATTGAATATTAAAAGCATTAGAGAATGAATTTTTCGAAACAATTGAATTTTGAAAAGGTTTCAAATTAAAATCTTTGAAAATCTGAATTTTTTCATATTTTTAATTAACAATTTTGTGAAATTAATGTTTTTGAGAAAGTTTAATTACGCATTTTTTAAAAAAATTATTTGTAGTTTTTATTTTCTAATATATATTAAACTAAAAATGTAAGAATAATTGGAATTTTGTAAAATTGAATTGTAAACAAATGAATTTGAAAATTCTCAAAGAACTTTTTAAAAAATTATTAAAAAAATAATGCATTTACAAAAGAATTTTAGTTTTAAAAACACGAAAAAAAAAATTTACTCTTTGAAAAGTTACAAATTATTGCAGAAATTCAATTATTTTCAGGAGTAATAATATTCTTCGCAAACGTTTAATTATTTTCATAAACTGTCATAAATAACAAAAATTTCAATTAAATTCAATTCTTTACAAAATTTTTGTAATTTTATTTGCAATAATTCAAGTATTTAAGAAAAATCAAATTTTTTACAGAATCCAATTAATTTTAATACAATTTTAATCGAATTTCTAGAAAAATGAAATTATACTTGAAAATTGTTTTAAAATTTGTGAAAAGAATTTAATATTTAAAAATTTTTTTAATAAAATTCTTTTTTAAAATTCAATTATTCAATAAATTCAATTTCCGTATTTGAATAATTCAAGTCTCGTTGAATTTTGTAATAATAAATTGATTTGAAGAAAAAATTTCAGTTAAAATTTTAGATAATAATAATTGAATATTAAAAAAAGCCTTATAGCGTGAATTTTTAGAAATAATTGAATTTTGAAAAGGTTTCATAATGTTAATTATTGATTTTATAGAACGAATTTTTTTGAAACTATTTGAAGTTTTTATTTTCTAAAAAAAATATTTAACTGAAGAATTTCCGAATGATCGAAATTTCGTAAAATTGAATAGTAAACAAATGGATTTGAAAATTCTCAAAAAACTTTTTCGAAAACTATTAAAAATAATGCATTTATAAAAGAATTTTAGTTAAAAACACGAAAAAAAATTTACTTTTTGAAAAGTTACAAATTATTGCAGAAATTCAATTATTTTCAAAAATAATTGTTCACACATAATAAAACTCACATCGCCGAATTTCAATTATTTTTAATACAATTTTGATCGAATTTCTGGAAAAATGTAATTATTCTTAAAAATTTTATTAAAATTAGTCGAAAGAATTCAATTATTTAAAAATTTGTTGATAAAATTCTTTATGGGAATCGAATTTTAAGAAACATTCAATTATTATTCAATAAATTATTTAAAAATGAATTTCTGTTCAGATTTTAGATAATAATTGAATATTGTAAACAAATGGATTTAAAAATTGTCAAAGAACTTTTTCGAAAATGATTAAAAATAATCGATTTAAAAAAGAATTTTAGTTAAAAATTCTAGAAAAATTAATTTTTTAAAATCCTTTACCAGAAAGTCCCCTTAAAGTCAAAAAGAATAATGCTTGAAAATTACTTCAAAGGATGAAAATTGTATAGAGAAATCTTTAAATCGTGTGCTATTTTTGTTCAGATTTTGTGTGACTCTCAAGAATACGAACAAGCAGATGAATATTTTACAAAAGCCATGGAAAAAGATCCCCAGAATGCTACAATTTACGTTCATAAAGGTTTATTACAACTTCATTGGAATACAAACATAGACAAAGCTGTGGAATACATAAAGAACGCCTTGGAATTAGATGATAAGTGCGAATTCGGATATGAAACGTTAGGAAGTATCGAAGTACAAAGGTAGTAAAAATATAAAAAATAAAAGAAATAAAAGAAAATAATGAAAATATCATATGTAATTATAAAACCTATTTTTTTCAACAGGGGTAATCTGAAAGAAGCCATTAACCTTTTTGATAAGGCTCTCATGTTAGGACGAACTACAATGGAAGTGACACATATTTTCAGTCTAAAAGATGCTGCAAAAACTCAATTAACTGTTTCCGAAAGGCTAGGAATGAATCTCATTTCGAACATCCATTGAGTTTCTTAACTTCTTTTGATTTTTATTGTTGATGGTATTTGTTGCTTTGAAATTAAATATAAACTTCAAATATTGTCATCATATAGTGAAAACACAAATTTTATGCATTTATTAGACTGACATGCAAAGTTTAAGTTTTGCATCAGAAGATATTCACAATAGTAATTTTATTTGTAAATTGTAATTATATGTAATTCTTTCAATAGACTATAATCAAACGAGTAAATGATATTTGTTCCAGGTGCCGTTTGCATTTAACTAAGATCACGATATCTTTGCATTGTTATGTATATACGATGATATTGTTTATTTTTTAAATTGTAAGCTAAAACCAAAAAAATATACCAGTTTCTCTAAATTTATTATTATTATTATTATTATTATTATTACAGTCTATTATGGTAACGTCCTCAAAATTTATGTAAATTAAAGACTGATTAAGAAAACTGAAGTTAATCAAATAAATTAGCATAAAAAATTAATAAATAAACTTTTTTTATTTTCATTGAAATGCAACGTTAAATTTTTAAAAACAAATTCTTATTTTCATTGTAACACATTTAAAGTTCTAAGGTCTTTCTTCATTATTGAAAAAATACGAAAATAGCGAGTTTGGAGTAATTACGGGTTTAACACGCAACCTGGAAACCTGAAAAACCTGGAAAAGTCAGGGAACTTTGATCGAAATCCTGGAAAATTGTTGTTTTCTAAAGTTATTGCGTTTATTCTTGAAATCTAATTTTACTTAAATATTTCAAAATTAATTCAATTTTAAAAGAGGTGCGTTTACAATTTTCATAAGTAGATGAACTTCAAAAAGGTTTGAGTTTGAAATTTTTTAAAATTACAATTTTCAATGAATTTAATTAGAAATCTTAAAGAATGTAGATTTTTGAAAAGATTTGTAATTCAAATTCTTCTGAAATTAGTTAAAGTTTTTAATATATATATTTAACTAGTTTTATTAAAAATAATGGATTTACAGAAGCATTTTAGTTAAAAACACTAAAAGAAATTGTATTCTATAGCAATTACAAATGATTGCAGGAATTCAATTATTTTCAAAAATTTTAATAAAATTTGGTAAAATTTCAATTATTTTCAAAAACTTTCCTCAATTCAATGACTTTTAATATCTACTACTTTAATAAAATTTCACAAAAGAATTCAATTATTTAAACAAAATTTTAATTAAACTCTACTCAAACATTTAATTATTTTCATAAATAATAAAAATTTTACAAGAATTCAATTATTTTTATAAATAATAAAACCCATCGCAGACTTTCAATTACTTTTTTAATATAATTTTTATTTAATTCTTCGAAAAATGTAATTATTCTTAAAAAATTTCATTAAAATTCATCAAAGAAATTCAATTATTTTAAAAACCTTTGCTACAATTTATTTATTAGAATTTAAGTATTATTTTTAATACGTTCTTAATTAAATTTCTTCAAAGAATTAAATTATTATCAAAAATTTTAATGAAATTCTTTGTAACAATTCAATTTTTTTCAAAATAATTTAAATAAAATTCTTCGTAGAAATTTAATTAATTTAAAAAATTTGTCAAAGTTCAATTATTTTAAGTATCTACTATTTCAATAAAATTTCACAAAAGAATTTAATTATTTAAAAAGAAATTTTAATAAAATTTGTCTCAAGAATTCAATTATTTTCAAAAGTAATATAATGCTTCGCAGAAATTCAATTATTTTTAAAAATTAAAAAAAATTCTCAACATTTCAATTATCTTCATAAATAGCAAAATTATTCGCCGAAATTCAATTATATTCAGGAATTTTTATAAAATTCAATTATTTTCATAAATAATATTATTCATCAAAAGAATTAAAGTATTTTCAAAATTAATAAAATTCTCTGCAGAAATTCAATTATTTCCAAAAATCTAAATAAAATTGTCAACATTTCAACTATCTTTTTAAATGAATAGCAAAATTCTTCGACAAAAGTCAATAATTTTTAGAAATTTGAATAAAATTCATTACAAAATTCAATTATTTTCATAAATATCAAAATTCATCACAAAAATTCAATCATTTTCAAAAGTAATAAAATTCAATTATTTTCAAAAGCTTTTCTTAATTCAATAATTTGCATATCAATTATATTCAAAAATTTCCCAAAAGAATTTAATTATTTAAAAACAATTTTTACAAAGTTTTACACAAATATTCAATTACTTTCTATTATTACGAAAATTTATTTCACAGAAATTTCATTACTAAAAATAGAATTTGAATAAATTTTTTCGAAAAAAACAATTGTTTGAAACTTTTTTATAAAATTTTTCACAATAATTCAATTATTTTCATAAATAATAAAACTTATCACAGAATTTCAATTATTTTTAATACAATTTTAATCGAATTCCTCGATAAATGTAATTATATTCTTAAATGTCATTAAAATTCGTCAAAAGAATTCAATTTTTTAAAAAATTGTTGATAAAATTATTTATGAAAATTCAATTTTCAGAAACATTTGATTATTTTCAAAAACTTTCCTTAATTCAATGATTTTTTAATATTTACTACTTTAATAGAATTTCCCAAAAGAATTTAATTATTAAAGAAAATTTTTAATAAAATTCTACGAAAACATTCAATTATTTTCATAAATAATTAAAATTTCACAGGCATTGAATTATTTTCGAAAACTCTTATGAAATTCTTTGGTTAAGTTTAATTATTTTTAATACAATTTTAATCTTTCTCGAAAAATGAAATTATTTTTAAAAATTTTATTAAAACTTGTGAAGATAATTCAATTATTTAAAATTTTGTTTATAAAATTCTTTGATAATTCAATTTTAAGAAACATTCAATTATTTAATAAAATATTTATTTTTGTATTTATTTTAAATAATTGAATTCTCGTAGAATTTTCTAATCAAAAATGATTTTAAAATGGATATCAGTTAAAATTCAAGATCATAATTGAATATTAAAAGCATTTCTGCATTAATTTTTAATATTAATTGAATTTTAAGAAGGTTTCAAATTAAGAACTTTGAAATTCTGAATTTTTCACAATTTTAATTAATAATTATGTAAAATTAATTTTTCAAAAAAGTTTAATTGAATTTTTTTTAATTGTTTGAAATTTCTTTTTTCCAATATATATTTAATTGATAAATTTTTAGAATAATTGAAATTTTGTAAAATTGAATTGTTAACAAAATGTTTTGAAAATTCTCAAACAACTTTTGCAAAAATAATTTTTAAAAAATTGATTTTAAGAAGAATTGTAGTTAAAAATTCTAGAAATAAATAATTAAATCAAAATGATGAAAATAATTTTTGAAGAAGTTACAGTAACAAAGTAAAGTTTTTTATGTTTTCGACTAATTTAACAATTACATAAATAAATTCGTCAAAGTCAAAGTTTTTTAATTTGGTAAAATGTAAATGTAGTTTTAAAAACCTGGAAAAATTTCGTTTTTTAACCTGGAAAAGTCAGGGAATTTGAATTGAGCAAAAGCGTGGCAACCCTGTAATTATTTAAAATAATACTAAAATGAGAAATACAATTTAAACAGAAAAATGAATAAACTAAGCTTTAGATTAGTAACAAATTCACTTTATTTGAAAATTTTCAAATTACAATAGGTTTTCTTTGAAGCAAATCTTTTTTATATATAAAAACAGTGTATTAAAAATTTTTGACTGCATTGTGGTAATTTGTAAGAAGAATTAATTCTGAACATATACATTCGGCTGCAGTGTTTTCAATTTGCATTATGCAACGCAACATCGTTCGGTCATATGTAAAACCAAATAAACTTATTCCATCAGGCTGTGTCATGTATACTTAGTCGAAAAATATCGTGTTGACAAAAGAATGAACTTTCTATTGGTTTCAATACGAAAAGTTGAATAAAAGCATGTGGTCGATCTTCGTCAGTCTGCAAACAAAATTATAAGCATTAGTTTTTTATAAACATAATGAACAATTTTTAAATAAACCATTTTTATTTTAATTATTAATTCAATCATACTTTTTAATCAATAACATTTTTATTAAATACATAGAGAAAAAAATCTTAATAATAAAATCTAATTAAATGTTAATAAGACAATAAAAATATGTAAAAAATAATTAGTTCTCAGGACATTTCAAAAGCGAAGAGGAATATTAAGAGAAGAAATCCAAATAAATTCTTTAAAGAATTTCTACAGAAATGTTCAGTTTTATTGTTAAGAAAATATTCAATTATTTAAATACAAAAGTAAATATTTTTTTTAATAATTGAATGTTTCTTAACATTGAATTATCATAAAGAATATTATACACAAAATTTTAAATAATAGAATTATCTTCACAAGTTTAAATAAAATTTTTTAAAAAATTTCATTTTCCGAGAAATTTGAATAAAGTTGTATTAAAAATAATTGAATTTAGCCAAAGAATTTTATAAGAGTTTATGAAAATAATTCAATGCCTGTGAAATTTTAATTATTTATGAAAATAATTAAATGTTTTCGTAGAATTTTTTTAAAAATTTTTTGAATAATTGAATACTTTTGGGAAATTTTATTAACGTAGTAGATATTAAAAATCATTGAATTCAGGAAAGTTTTTGAAAATAATTGAATGTTTTGAAAATTGGATTTTCATAAAGAATTTTAGCAACAAATTTTTAAAAAATTGAATTCTTCCGACGAATTTTAATGACATTTTTAAGAATATAATTACATTTATCGAGGAATTCGATTAAAATTGTATTAAAAATAATTAAAATTCTGCGATGAGTTTTATTATTTATGACAATAATTGAATTATTGTGAAAAATTTTATACAATAGTTTCAAACAATTATTTTTTTTCGAACAAATTTATTCAAATTCTATTTTTAGTAATGAAATTTTCGCAATAATAGAAAATAATTGAATATTCGTGTAAAACTTTGTCAAAATTGTTTTTAAATAATTAAATTCTTTTGGGAAATTTTATTAAAATAATTGATATACAAATTATTGAATTAAGAAAAATTTTTGAAAATAATTGAATTTTATTAATTTTGAAAATAATTGAATTCTTGTGATGAATTTTGTTATTTATGAAAATAATTGAATTTTGTAACGAATTTTAATAAAATTCCTGAAAATAATTTTGCTATTCATTTATAAAAATAATTGAAATGTTGACAATTTTTTTTAGATTTTTTGAAAATAATTGAATTCTTGTGATGAATATTGTTATTTATGAAAATAATTGAATTTTACAATGATTTTTATAAAAATTCCTGAATATAATTGAATTTCGGCGAAGAATTTTACTATTTATGAAGACACAGTAGGATCTTTCAATAGTGCAGTTCTGAACAGTGCAGTCATTAGTGAGTTGAGTAAACAAGAGATTTCGGGGGGCAAAGAGGAAGGGAATCTGTGACGTCAAATACAGTGCCGTCGCTCATTTGATTATTTAGTATCATTTAGTGGTGCCCGGTATTTAGTAGTGGGGGACCCTTAATTTTCTTGACACGGACCTGAATGTTTTAGTTTTTGCTTGCTTCGAATAGTGCACAATATTCCCGACGACTGCACTATTGAAAGATCCCACTGTAATTGAAATGTTGAGAATTTTTTTTTACTTTTTGAAAATAATTGAATTTAGGGAAAGAATTTTTATATTTATTAAGATTGTTGAATTCTTTCAAAGAATTGCGATAACATTTTTAAAATTGAAACTAATTTCAACAGAATTGAAATAAAAATTTTTTAAAAAATATTTTTTTAAATAATAATTTATAAGTAATAACTTTATGGCAGTTCTTCAATAGAATTAAGTTATAGAAAAAATTTAAGATATTTTTTAGAATTCATGGTAATTTTATAGTTTATGAGGCAAGCAAAAAGACAGAAAAATTCAGAATTTTCTTATAAATTCTAAACGTTTAGTTTTATAAAAAAATTTGATAATAATAGAATTCTAATTAAATTCTTTTGAAGAATTTTTTTTAAACTAATGGAGTTTCTTTAATAATTGAATTGAAAATTTTGAAAGCAATTGAATTTTATGAAGAAGAATCTTATTAAAATTGTATTGAAAATAATTAAATTCTTGCAAAGAATTTACTATTTATAAAAATAATTAAATTTTTTCAAAAAAATTTATTAAAATTCTGGAAAATAAATGAATTTTATGTTAATATTTGAAAATTTAAATTCTTTTTAGGAATTCTATTAAAATTGTTGTGAAAAGAATATTGAATTTCTGCAAAGGATTTTACTATTTATAAAAATAATTGAATTATTGCGAAGAATTTTACTATTTATAAAAATAATTGAAATGTTTCGAAGAATTTATTAAAATTTTAAGAAATAATTAAATTATTATGAAGAATTTTATAGAAATATTTAAAAATAATGAATTTTTTTCGAGAAATTCAATTAAAGTTGTTTCGAAAATAATTGAATTTCTTTAAAAAATTTTATTAAAATTAAGTATATTCAAAATAATTGAATTCATCACAAGAATTTTATTATTTTTTGATAATAATTGAATTCTATCAATTTTTTGACGAATATATTTAAGAATTGCATTGTAAGTAATTTAATTTTTATATAGAATTCTTTAAAAATAATTTGAGAATAATTGAATTATTTTTAGAGCATTTTAAATTCTTGTTGAAATTTAATTTTATTGAAATTTTTGAAAATAATTAAATTCTTTCGTGTAATTTTATTTAAATTGTATTAAAAATTATTTCATTTCTACAAAGAATTTTAGTATTTATAAAAATAGTTGAATTGTTTCCAAGGATTTATTAAAATTTTAGAAAAAAATTGAATTTTTTCGAAATGTGTTAAATTTTTTAAAAAAAATTGAATTATTTTGAGGAATTTAATTAAAATTGTTTTGAAAATAATTGAGTTTTTGTAAAGATTTTACTATATGTAAAAAAATAATTGAATTGTTTAGAAGAATTTATTAAAATTTTAGAAAATAATTCAATTCTTTCTTGAAATTTTATTAAAATTTTTGAAAATATGAACAGTAATAATTAATTTTGTACTTAATAAGTGAATTTTTTAAATTTTGATTATTAAATTATTTAAATAATTTATATTTGAATATAAAAAATGTTGTAATTTGCATAACAATAATAAATTGAATATCTCGTTCCGCGCGTAACATTTGCTAGTTCAATAATAAAATGGAATTAACCTATGAAATGTGGTAGGTCTTAAATGTAATACTAGAGAATTTGAAGTACTCTTACATTCAACATGAAATAATCGATTATTATTAATTGTGCTATAATTGAAATAAAAGTATGATTCATTTGACACACATTTTTATGAAGATGAAACTGGCACCCAGTTATCAGCACCCACTTATCTTTGGAACTTAAATTTTAAAGTTAAATATTTCTTTGTTTAAAACCAACATAAAATTTTGAAAAATTAAGTGGATGCTGATAACTGGATGCCAGTTTCAGCTTCATAAAAGTATTCAACTTTGAAATTCAATTTCCAAAATTAAGTGGGTGCCAGTTTCAATTTCATCACATTTTTATAAAATTAATTTTGCATTGTTAATGTTAAATTCAAATTTATAGTTATCTTTATTTGGAATCCTGGTTGTTTCAATAACGACCTCCGAACAACTTGAGATTAGTACTATTATCATTGTGTTTATTATTTCTTTAAAATTGAAATTCTTGTCATTCCTGTAAAGTTTATATAAACTATAACCAAACAGTTATCTCTAATAAACATTTTTTTGAATGCAATGTTTACAAAACCTATGTTTCATTTATTGTCGTAAATTGATTAATTTCAATTTAAAATTATAGAAGAGTCAAAATTCCTAAAGTGGACCACTGAAATCTCAAATTTATCGTATTGATCTGAAAATATATAAAATTAAAACATAATTATAAGTTTATTTAAAATCCTCAAATGATTTTTAAAAAAAATTAATTTTCACTTTGTTATAAAGAATTGAAATTTTTTGCGGTCTTTTGTTATAAAATGAATATCTTTGGACTGAATAGGATTACAATGAAAATTTGTATGCATACTCTGAAAATAATACAGTTTAAATTAACATAATAAAAAAATTATTGTTTATTTTTAAAAAAATGTTGTCATTGTCGTATAAATTTGTCATTAAATTGAATGAAGAGGATATTTACGGACACTAAACGTGAAGAGAAAAAATCGACCGCGCTTAAAATGCTTTCTATATAATAGACTTCGAATTCGATAATTAATTTTAAAAAAGTAGCAAAAAGTAGCTTTCAAACTAAAATAGTAGTAAAAAAGTATAGCTATCGATATTGTTATTTATGAAAATAATTGAATTTGAGGCTATATTCGATGCAAAAAAATTTGTATGTAGCATAAAGACAATAAATTCTATTCTATTAAAAAATAATTGAATTATTCTGCAAAGAATTTTATTAAAATGCTTCAAAATAATTGAATTTTCGAAAATAATTATATTATTTATCGACATAATAGAATTCTTTCGAAGAATTATTTATGTAAATAATTGAATTCTTGGGAAAAATGTTATTAAAATCTAAAACAATAATTAAATTATTTCAAAAAAAAATAACTAAAATTTTATTTAAAATAATTGATTTCTTTAGAACAATTTTATTAAAATATTTGAAAATAATTGAATTCTTTAATTCTTGCGAAGAATCTTATAACATTTTTTAAATAATTGATTTCTTTCGACTAATTTAATTCTTACTAAGATTTTTAAAAACAATTTTTTAAATAATTTAATTCTGTTTGAAAATTTTATGAAAAGAGTAGATAATTGAATTGAATTGTGAAAAGATTTTAAAAATAATTCAATTTCACAAAGAATTCTATTACAATTTTGGAGAATAATTGAATTTCTAAAAAGCATTTATATTTATAAAAATAATTTAATTCTTGTTATGAATATTGTTGTTTATGAAAATAATTGAATTTTGCAAAGAATTTGATTAAAATGTCTCAAAATTCTAATATTTTTGTAAATAATTAAATTCTTCCAAAAAATTAAAAAAAAAATTTTTTTTTTTAAATTGATTTTTTCGAGGAATTGAAATTTAATTTTTAAGAATAATTACATTTTTTGAGCAATTCCTGTAAAATTGAATTAAAAATAATTGAAATTCTGCGATGAATTTTATCATTTATGGAAATAATTGAATAGTTGCTGAGAATTTTATTAAAATTTTCAAAAATAATTGAATTCCTGTAAAGAATTTTATTATTTATGAAAATAATTGAATTATTGTGAAAAATTTTGTCATTTTTGAAAATAATTGAATTCTTTATAAGAATTTTAGAAACATTGTTTAAAATTATTAATTTTTTCGAAATATAATAAATATTATGAAAATTTTATTTTAAATAATTGAATTCTTGTGGAAAACTTTATTTGTGAAAATAATTGAATTCTTGCTTAGAATTTTATAAAATTTTTTTTTTCAATTGAATTTCCATGAAAAATGTTATTATGGGTGAAATTAATTGAATTATTGCGAAGAATTGCATAAAAATTTTGTTAAATAATTGATTTTTTCGAAATTTGTTTTTTGAAATGCTATTCTAAATTAATTGAATTTTTGTGGGAATTTTATTATTTATGAAAATAATTGAATTTTGAATGTATTTTATTAATTTCTTTTAAAAATAATTTAATTCTTTTGCGAAATTTTATGAAAATAATTGAATTTGGAATATTTTTTAAAAATAATTTAATCGTTTTAAAGAATTTGATTACAATTTTTGAGAATAGTTTTTTTGATTTCTAGTATTAGCGAATTTAAAGTAGTGGAAACTCTCAAGAAACCCAAAAATAGTATCTTTTAGTGACTTAAATCTAAAAAAGTACCTAATTAGTAGCATAACGTAAAAAAAGTAGTAAATAGTAGGTTTTAGTAGATGAGTGCGAAGCCTGTTATAATCTTCGAGAATTCTTTAAAAGAAAGTAAAAATTATTTTTTTTTGAAAATCCTTTGAGGATTATAAATAAACTTTTTTTTTATGTTTTAAGTTTATATATTTCCAATTGAATACGAGAAATTTGAGATTTCAGTGGTCCAATTCAGGAATTTTTTGACTGAGAAAAGAATTCTAATATTGCTTCTTGTTTGATCTACTGCATATTTAAAATCACTCACCTGTAGCCTTCCTAAAACATTAATTAGTATCCCACCATCCAACATTGGTTGCGAATCAATGGCCGTGATTATTCGATTGATTTTTTGAAACCTCAAATTCTGTAAAAATAAATGACAATATTTATGTTCGAAACAAGTTGAAAGTAAACATGGAAATAAAAACCAGATATTTGTAGAAAAAAGTATGTAGGTATGTAAATATAAGAAAAAACGTACATTTTTTTTCTATCAAAAAATGTCCTTTACAGTGCAGCTATAATTGTCTACAACACATAACCTAACTTTTACAATCGTAATAATATATTTAATGACAGTTAAGTGCAACAGTTTTTCTTCGATAAATACTATCGCAAGTGAAAACAAATTTATTTCTACTTACATTCAATTCTTCCACGATTTTTGTAACACCCTGCATTTGTTTACCTTCAAATGTCATGAATGATTCATTCTAAAAATATAAATTAAGCATATATTTTCCTAAGTTAAAATGATAAAATTAAATTCTAATATCGTGAAATACTCATACTCACGTTATAAATATTTCTTAAGTTTGCTCTTTGCACTGGATCATCGAACATTGCATAGTATTGTTGTACAAAACCTCTGCCAATTACTTCGTACTGCGGATTTAATGCCATTCTATTAATTATTTATTTTAACCTATTTTTTATTATAAAGTATCTGTACAATAATGTATAATACGACAAAAGTCTTAACTTATACAATCACTCCGGTTGTGTAGGTTGTGTCATTGTCGTATATCTCTTCAGGCCAACCAGCCAACACACATTAAATTCTAAAATCTAAATCGAAATTCGGGTAGTAGAATATAGTAGGTTGAGTCTACAATAGCACTTTGAACGGAACGTTAAACGTTACGGAACAATATACTTAGCATTGTTACGTTAAGATTACGTTCCGCTAAGGTGCTATTGTGGACTCAACCTAAAGCCAAAGCCGAATAAAGGCCTAAGCACAATCCTTTCGCGAACGCAAAGCATGAGTTGGAAAAAGACATATATTTGCGTCCTTTTCTATCTCGTTCGCGAACCTACAGGAAAGTTATTTAAAAATACGGACTTCACGGACCAAAAATAAAAAATTTAAATAATATAATATATATAAATAATAATAATAATAAATAAAATAAATAATAATAAATAAAATAAATAATAATAAACTATAACATGAAGATATCGATAACTCGATGTTTCTTCATGTTTTCTTCATGTTTTGAACCTATTGTGCATTGGCCTTAAACATATTTTTGAGTGGAAAAAAGATAGAAATATTTCCTTTCTTTTCTCTCTCATGTTCCCTGATTTTTAATTTGGCTTTGGCCTTTCCTGCAATTGTTGTGCTTGTTTATAATATATATGTATAATTATAAACATATTTTTTTCCTGAAATATATATATATTTTAAAATATGTTTTAATAATTGTGTACTGAAACTTTATGTGAATAAATATTTTATTTTTTTACTTTGTGTCATAATGTAATTTTCAACAAATATCTAAACTATTGTAAATTCATACTTATTTTATTATTAACATTTGGTGAATTTTTTTCTGAAACAGAAATTTAATGTCAATATCCCCATTAAATTGAGGATTTTACCAATACGCTGTGATTCATGTTTATTGTCAATTATTATTTACTCTACCGATATTAATCTACTTTATGGAAATTAATTTAATAGTTAGCTAGAATAAAGTAAGTATGTATTATATTATTCTATAATATTATAATAAAAATAAAGACATATTTTTTACTTCAATTTTGCCACGTTCAGTTTAGTTTATTTGCATTTATCTATCAAATGTAATTTAACCATATATATATACATAAATTTAAGGTTATGTTCTTCATCTTCAAAAAAATATGTCAATATTAATACTATTTTGAGTTGTATATCTTTTTTACAACTTTAAATATTATGTTTTTGAAATCAAACGGCATAGATAATTTCAGTCAATTAACAATTAATCAGCGACTTTTTTAAATTAATTTTCTATATTTTTATCATAATTCGGATACTTTGTTGATTTTTTCATCTGAAATAAAAATTTCTTATTTTAATTATTTACTATTAATAATTGTCTTCAATATTAATTAATAGTCTTTAATATCCCTATTAATGTTCAATACTTTAATTAATGTTTATGTATTTTTCAAATAATCAAAATATATTAGTTTCTTTTCATTTATTTCAAGTTTAATTTTCATCTTTGAAAAAAACTATTTATTAAAAAACAGGGTGTCTACTGTCTACTGGTCCTTGAAGTCCTGGAATTCCTAAAAATGTCCTGGATTTTGAACTTTTGTCCTTTAATTTTCCATATTTTGCTTTTAAATATTCAATAATTTAAAATATTTACTCAAATTTAAAAAATAATTTTTTTGATCCATCAAAAAATTATTTCAATTTTTCGTTTGATTAAAGAAACTGGTATCCACAATATAGATTTTTAATTCTTTTTATAATAAAATAAATATTCTTGTTCAAGTAGGTTAATATTTAAATTATGTTAATCGTAATATGAAATAATATAACACATATAAATGTCCTGGAAAAATAAGAAATCTGTCCTGGAATGTCCTGAAAATGTCCTGGAATTTTAAGTCATATTTTCAGTAGACACCCTGAAAAAGGGCTTGCAAAAAATATTTCAAGGAATAAAAAGTTGATAAACTTGGTCAATTTATTGAGAATTTATTAACTGCTCACAATTTTATCAAATTTATCCCTGTTGATTTCTGAAATATATCAACTTCATTAGAAATTATATCTAGCATTAAATTTACATTTTAGAATATTTATTTAATAAAAATTTCTTTCGTTTATAACAAATATTATTTTGTTTTAGAAGAAATAATTTATAAATAACTGAAGATTATTTGGTACACGGAATAAGCTACAATGGACAAGCTTCGAAGAGTTTTAAATGGCAATGAAAACTGTGACGAGGAAAGTGGCATAATACCACAGGTAACTTTTTTAATTTGCTAAATGTACTGAGGCACAATTTATGAAATGCTTACTAAATATTATAATAATTATAATTGCTGCAAAGGGAGATGAGGATTTCGTGGTAAGTGAGATTGATTGAGATAACAAATTTAACCCTTTTTTTAACGCTTTTTGATGTAAATGTGTCTTTGTCATCTAATTTGAATATTTTCTAATTCTTTTCTTATAAAGAAAGCAATTTTTATTTGGCAAAATTGGGATTAAGTGATGAATACAGTGAAGCTATGACTCAGATGTGTAATGCACCCGATGACGAATGTATTAAAAAGATTTGTTTTTATATGACATATAAATAGTTTGTTGTTGCGTGCTTTCATGTTGAATGAGTAACATAAAATTGAAAACTGATATTATCAAAATATTGTAAACGAAAATCTTCTGCTACAAAATGTAATATTTTATAGAGCAGAATAAATTAAATTGAATTTTTTTTTAAATTTGGAGAATTCTAAAATATTTAAAAAAATATATAGTTACTTATTAAATTGAGTTATTAAAGATTATGTCGTGACAAGCATTTTTTTTACTACAAACAACAAAAAATAATTTCTATAATTTCAAATTTGAATTTAATTTAAATCCATTTAATTCAATTACATTTATTAGTAGAATTTGAACATTGTTAGAAAAAAATTTATTTAAATGACCTTCATTAGAAAAAGAAATTTTGGAAATTCACGTTCATCAGAAAAAAGGTTTTAGAAAATAACCAATTTTGTAGTCTAGAGCTTTTCAAGACGCATGTTTTGATCTATTATTAGCGAATATTCTGTTGTAATTCTATTATACACAAAAATATTTTAAAAAACTAAAAATTTTTGAAAAACTTAACTTATTGTTTTTGGTTTTAAATTATCATGTAAGTGTTTTTTAAAGTTGTGATTTTTAATTTTTATTAAATTAAAATTGAATTATTTTTATTAAATCTTGGAATAAACACAAAAATGTAACAAATCCAAAATGAATGTTTTACTATTTGGTATTATTTTTCAGGTGATGGACGCGTCCACCTTAAGTTGGTCTACTAGAATAAAGGGGTTTGCAATTTGTTTCGTGATAGGCATTCTATGCTCATTCCTCGGATCATTTGCACTTTTTCTAAATAAGGGACTTACCGTATTCGCCGTATTCTACACGCTGGGCAATATTATTTCATTAATAAGGTACCAATTTCCTCAATTATGATATTCATTTTAAATCTACTTCTTTTTAGTTTATGAATTATTATAAAGTAACTTTTAAAGAACCTTGGATACTATTTTAATGGATGAAACTGAAGTTATCAACGTTGATTCAACGAAACAATTTGAAAAAAAATTTTCTCTTTCAGAATGTCAAAAACCTCATTTTGAGAAAATCGAAATCAAAGATTGTAATGCGAATATCTTTGGTTCTTATAGGAAGATATTCAGATAAAAATTGTTTTAAGTCTAGTAAACCTTTAAGATGAAAAATTAATAGGTTTCGAATCCCCCCCCCCCCATTTTGAAACAATAAAAAATTAACGAACATCCGACAAAGTGGTTCCTTTTCTAAAATTGCGTTTTTTAATTAATAAACCTGATTTTTTGCAAAGTTAATGGATGGATGTTATTTTATTGAGTTATTTGAAGCAAAAAAAAGAGAAAGTATAGACAACAAAAATTTTTAAGGGCAAAGTGGTCCCTTTTCATTTTTTTGTCTAACAACGAAATAAAATACTTAAAGTATCAATAAATTAATGAAAAATGCATTAATGTCTCGTGTGAGACCCAGCAGATGAAAAAATAATAAAAAAAGTTTCGATATTTTTTTTCAAAATCAGTAAATTGCTATTATATCGGAATCTAGAACCAACAAAGTGGTCCCTTTTCATGCGGAGGTCCACATATTGTAATGAATCCAACGGAAAAACACATTTCCATGATGACAGCTCGAAAATGATTGTTTATCAATTTCATGTCATTTAAGCCGATAAGTGCCGTTTTTATTGGGCGATAACTGTAGGTCACACATAACTTTTACTTTTACTGAAGCAGATGAAGATAAAACAGTGATATTTGTGTCGTTCAACGACGCACCGCTTAGTTTGTTTTTAATTTTCTTCTAAACTTATGGCCAGCTTACTATAAAACTTATGTTTTTTTTGGGAAAAATGCCAGCTTTCCAATACAAATAAAAATTTTTTTTTTAAATACCCATTTGGGTGAAAATTAAAAAATAAATCTTATTTTTAAAAAACGGGGTTTTTTTAAAAAAAATTTTAGAAAGTACATGAAAAATGCTTTAAATTTATGAAAGAAGAATTAAAAACGATAAAGTTTTATAAAAGTTATATGGTTTTTAATATGACATGTGATACTTAAAATATCAATACTTTAACCCCCTCTACTTTCTTTCTCTACTTTCTTTTTTTAAAAGAGCTAATATTTTAAAAATTTATTACTTTCATATAGGACAACAATTTCCCAAGGTATCAAACCAATCCCAAGACTTTTAATTTTTGGCTGTGACATTTGAGAAATAATGCCCCACGTCAAAAATTCAACTTTTATAACTTTGTTTTTCAATACTTATTTCTAAAATTACTTGTAAATATGGAGAAGATTTTCAATCAGTTCGCTCTCATCTAATTATCCTGACAAATCCGAAGTCGATATATCATAACTCATTAAAGGCTCAGACATAGCTCTTTTCTCTGATAATAATAAACCCTCAAATTTTCCCACAAAAATTCAAAGTTGGTCATGGGTCTTTCAATTTTTGTGAAACTTGGTATAAATGTAGTGTTTTATGACAGAAGATTTTAGAAAAAAAAAGATTTTCAAAATTGTGGATTTTACCAGGCATCAAACATTAAAGTACACTTTTTTTAAAATTAACAACTTTTATCCATTTTGTTTATATTTTGGATAATAATTGATTTTCTAATAATTAAAAGTGCAATATTAAAAAAGAAAAAAATCAAAAAAATTTCGGGTATACAGTACCGTCCGCAATTGTCAGTCCACCCATTTTTAAAGGAATGACAAACATTTTTTAACATAAAATTCATGAAAACTAAAATTTTTTTTGGTTTATATTTTGAAAGACGATAAAATTTTGAAAAGAATAAGACCTTACAGAAGTCATTTAGCCAAAATTTGTAGAAGATATTCCTAAAAATCGTCATTTTCAATGTTTTACAAAAATTTAAATAACTTCTAAAATAATGAACGCTTTTTAATAATCTTAGGCTTATTTTAAAGACCATTTTCTACGGAATAAGAATTACTTATCGGCATTAACCTGTCATTTTTAACTTGGAATAAGCATGACGTCAAAATTAGACAAAAAAATTGGAAAAATTTGAAATCAATTTTTTGTACTAAAAACTATTCTAAAACATATATAAAACATGATATGGTGTAGATTTTTCAAGAAAATTTAATAAAAATATATGTTTGAATTTCAAAAATTATTTTTCTTTTAATAATATTATTTCAAATTTTTTGAATTTTTTTGTCCAACTTTGACGTCATGCTTATTCCAAGTTAAAAATTACAGGTTAATGCCTATAAGTAATTCTTATTCTGTAGAAAATGGTCTTTAAAATAAGCCTAAGATTATTAAAAAGCGTTCATTATTTTAGAAGTTATTCAAATTTTTGTAAAACATTGAAAATGACGATTTTTAAGAATATCTTCTACAAATTTTGGCCAAATGACTTCTGTAAGGTCTTATTCTTTTCAAAATTTTATCGTCTTTCAAAATATAAACCAAAAAAATTTTACTTTTCATGAATTTTATGTTAAAAAATTTTTGTCATTCCTTTGAAAATGGGTGGGCTGACAATTTCGGACGGTACTGTAAGCACCCCTTTAATTTTTTTGTAACTATGATATTTATATATTCCTTATCTTCTCCAGAATTTTTTCAAAAAAAAAAAATTCCTGGAGACTTTAAAAGATATTATACGAATTGCATATACATAATATTCTATATTTTTTAAAATTATTAAAGTTTGGAAGCAGATGATGTAACCTGCTATGCAATAGGTCCAATAAGAAGTTATTTCAATTTTTTTTGTAACAGTGTTTTTTAATTGTGTACAATTTTTCTATGACATATACTGAATAATCAGTGAGTTTTTTGGTTTCTGGACTGATTTCGTCTACTGATCGGACTCTTGAAGCTGAATGAGATTTTTGTTTTTTGTCCTGAATAGTCTATATATTTATTCTAATTTCTATCTATATCTATATTAATTTAGAATTAATTCTTTTACAGTACATGTTTCCTCATGGGACCAGTAAATCAACTGAAAAAAATGTTTGCATCCACAAGAATAATTGCTACAATACTTGTGTTCGTGTGCTTAGTAATGACTCTTGTTGCAGCAATTGGAGTAAGTAGCAACAAAGAATTAAAATTATTAAATAATATTATTATTATATATCTTTAGCCGAGGCGCATGATTATTTCTCAAATGTCATTTGACCGAACTGTCATTTTACCGAATTTCATCTATCCGAACTGTTATTTTAACGAAATGTCACTTTTGCGAAACGCCATTTTTACGAATTGACACTTTTGCGAAAAATCATTTTTGCGAAATATAATTTTTACTAATTGTCATTCTTACAAATCGTTATTGTTCCGAAATGTCATTTTTTCGAATTGTCATTTTTACGAAATGTTACTTTTGTGAATTGACATTTTTACGAATTGTCACTTTTGCAAAAGTCATTTTTTCGAATTTTCATTTTTGCGAATTGTCATTTTTGCGAAAATTGCTATAGTAAACTTGTATGCATATATAGATTTACTATAGCAATTTTCGCAATATTTCGCAAATAAGTGACAATTCGTGAAAATGTCGATTCACAAAAGTGACATTTCATAAAAATGACAATTCGTAAAAATGATATTTCGCAAAAATGACTTTTCGCAAATGTGTCAATTCGTAAAAATGTCGATTCGCAAAAGTGACATTTCGTTAAAATAACAGTTCGAATAAATGCAATTCGTTAAAATGACAGTTCGGTAAAATGACATTTAGGGAATAATCATGCGCCTCTCTTCACTGAGAAAACTGGAGTATTGGACATCTGGAGCATCTGGAGGGACAAATCGTTCATATTTGAGAGTTAGCTATTGGATAACAATCTAAATGTTCAAATACACCATTGACAGATATTCGTGCCATTTCTCTTGGAGGGAAAATGAGTTTATAACAGAGGGACAAATTAACCATCTTGAGAAATCCCTTCCTTATCCGGCGCGAAATGAATAAATATGGCAACCTAACCCCCAAAATTAAATACATAAAATGTCAGAAAAATAATTTCGCGCGCATCAGATCGTACACATTTTCTGCGCAACTTTTAACCCTCAGATATAATGGGAGAGAATATACAAGTAGATTTCCATTATCAATTCAAAATTTATTTTAGAAGGACTATTTAACTCTCTTCATAAGCAAAGGAAACATACACTTTTTGAACCTCTGAATTTGACTCTCCAGTTTTCTCAGTGTTTAGCCCTATTCAAGAATTTATTGAGTAATAAAATTTTTGAAGCGCATAAATGACATTTGACCAAACTGCCGTTTTACAGAACTGCATTTGACTCAATTGTTAGTTTTACGAAATGTCAATTAATCAAATAGTACATATATATGACGGGTTCCACGTCAAGTGACCCAGATCCAAATTTGAAATGTTTGGGATCAGGTAAAAAGTTTGCACAAACAGTAGTCCTATTAGATACAATAAAAAATATCAAATATTATTAATTTATTTAAACAAATATAAAAACTGGAGGGGGTCAAAGTTTAAATTTTTGGTCTTACATGGAATATTTGAAAAATTTGTAGTTTCTTTAAAACAAAACGAAAATACGTTTTCTATTTTGGATTTTTCTGCTGTTTTCAACAATTTCTAATGGTGTAAACAAATGTAGATAAAAAAAATTTTTTGACCTTGAAAAATTAAATTAAAAAATAAAATTTCATTTTTTTATCAAATGGACAGTTTTTATTTTAAAAAAAAAATTTTATCATAAAGGTGAGGTTTTTTCCTAAAAAAATGTATAGGTCAAAACGTGGGACAAGAACTTTTAACTGGTAAAAATAAACATTTACTTCTGCAATCCACCGCCCCTGCGCGTTGTTGGGCTGTATATTGTTTATAACAATTGAAATAAATTATTTTATGCGTTAGTAATTATCTGGTTGTCATATTGGAAGAATTTGAATTGATTTAGATCATGTGCAGCAACGGAATAAGAAAATAAACGTCCTTTTTTAAAAAAGTGTATTAATTTTTTAACTTTGATTAAAAAAAAATTATAAATAATTAAAATCCCCAAAATTGTCCTCGAAGGATGTCTTAAGAATTTATTCCCCTTTAATTTAAGACAAAGAACACTCAAATCGGTTAAAAATTGTAAGCTGTAGACATTTTTTAATAGTAAATTGTAAAAAAAATTCCACTGTGGGTCGGTGCACTGCAGAAGTAAATGTTTATTTTGACCAGTTAAAAGTTCTTGTCCCACGTTTTGACCTATACATTTTTTTAGGAAAAAACCTCACCTTTATGATAAAATTTTTTTTTAAAAAATAAAAACTGTCCATTTGATAAAAAAATGAAATTTTATTTTTTAATTTAATTTTTCAAGGTCAAAAAATTTTTTTCTCTACATTTGTTTACACCATTAGAAAGTGTTGAAAAACAGCAGAAAAACCCAAAATAGAAAACGTATTTTCGTTTTGTTTTAAAGAAACTACAAATTTTTCAAATATTCCATGTAAATTTTTGACCTGGGTCACTTGACGTGGAACCCGTCATATAGTGAAATTCCATTAGATATGTCACGAACTGACACTTTCACGAATTGTCATTATTTTGAAGTGTCACTTCATCGAATTCACATTTTTTACAAAATGCCATTTTGGCGAATTAAGTCATTTTTACTTGAAAGAATTCTTATTTAGTAAAATATTTATTTGTCCGAATTGTAATTGTCAATTTGATCGAATTTAAATTTGTCAGAAATTTAATTTGATCGAATATCAATTTAAGCGAGATGTTTTTTCACAGAACTTTAATTTAGTAGAATAGTCATTTTATAAAATCTCAATATTGTAGAAAAATGTTTTGATAGAAATTTACTTTTTGAGATTGTACACATGTACGAATATTAATTTGTTAGAAATTCAATTTGACAGAAATATTTCGGCCCAAATTTTAAAATGAACAGATCACAATTGTTTTTATAATTTTTTATTCAATTTTAAAATTAACGCCAAAATATTTCTGTCAAATTATAATTCGGGCAAATAAATGTTCACTAAATAAGAATTCTTTCTAGTTTCCTTTCTGATAAATTAATATTCTTTTTAATTACTATTTCTTAAAATTTAAATTCTACAAAACAACGTTTCGAAATTATTAAAATTCGATCACATTGAATTTCTATCTCATTACTATTCTTACGTATAAAAATTCTATAACATTGATGATCGATTTAATGGAAATTTATTTTTCTGTCATAATTAATATGTAAAATATATTAGTAATTCGTTTTTGAAGCTTTAAATCAATTTTTTCGTCAAAAACCCAAGTCGACTTAAGTGGTTTTTAAAAATTAATACCAAAATTTATTTGTTTACAGTTACATAAACCAGGACTTGCACTTCTCTTTATAATTTTGCAGTCTTTATCATTAACATGGTATTCTTTGTCGTATATTCCATACGCACGCGATGCTGTAAAAAAGACTGTTGAATCCTGCATTACGTGAGGTTTTCTTTAAAAAAAAATTAACTTACATGGAGCAGAAAGTTTTGTATATTGTAAACTGAAAGAAACTTAAAGTGAAATTTAACAAAGGCTAGGAAACAAAATAAAAATAGGCAACTAAAAATTTATAATTCAAACCAGACGCATTTTTTAAAGTCAATTACTTTTTATATGAATTTTTTTTACTGAAAACAATCAAAATTAAATTTAATAATGGTTTTAAATTGATCATTAATTTCTTAATGAAGTTGAGAGAAATTTCAAATGAATTTGATAAACACATAAGTGTCTTTTAATAAATATTATTATTATAATTATTAGGTATTATAATTTTATTATACTTTTTCTACTGATATTATCAATGACTAATAAATTCATAGTACCTATATTATTATGAGCATAATTATGTTCAAAATATCATAATAATCGTTTATAAACAATATTTTCGTCTGAATTCTATTTTATTATTAGTTAAACACGAAAAATTTAAAATAAAATTAATATTTTATATCTATGTCTATGCTGTTTGATAATATAAACTGTTTTTACTGCAAATTGGATATATATTGTATAACTATTTTATTCATTGCAGTGTTTTGTAATTTTATAGAAATGAATAAAAAATTTTAACACTTATATATTTTACACGCAACAAAAAAATTGTAAAGAAATGTAAAATTGAAAATAACGATAAAAAACCGCTGTCAAGCACTGTCAAGTTGTATGTTTCTGTAATTCTCTTTATGTTCATTTCATGAACACTTTGCTTCCTCATAGAGATAATAATAATTGAAATATAAGAATTACTTTTTATGAACGGTTAAAAATGATTAAATGTAGGTCAAATTACCTATATCGAAAAATGTCTAAAATCACAATCGAAAATTTTTCCAATACAATCATTCCTCTATGAGGAATCAATTTTACATTTATTCAAAATTGAAAAATATGTAGTATAATTGAAAACCTGACAAGTCTATTTTTCTATATAAATTTAAATAAGAAAATATAAAAAATAATGATTGACAAAAAACCACCCACACAGCACATAATATTTCCTAAATATTTCCTGAATATTTCACTGAAAGATTGAAATATTTCAGTGCAAGGTTCTTGAAATATTGCTGCAAATTGAAAATGTCCGCCTATGTGAAATATTGATGCGAAAGTTTAGAAAATATTTCATTGAAATATTCCTGCAATATTACACATGACTATTCTGCAATATTCTGAAAATATTTCACAAAATTAAAAAATTTGTTAAACACCTGAAACCAATAGGAATTTTTTGAAATATTTTAAAACCCATAGGATTCTAGAAAGCTAAAAACTACTGCGCAGCTCTACAGGCCATAGAAACTAAGTTCGACCAGTGCGCATAATTTAAGTTGAAAATTTCCAAAATATTTCAATGAAATATTTTCTAAACTTTCGCGTCAATATTTCATATAGGCGGACATTTTCAATTTGCAGCAATATTTCAAGAACCTTGCACTGAAATATTTCAATCTTTCAGTGAAATATTCAGGAAATATTTAGAAAATATCATGTGCTGTGTGGGCAAACTTCATTTTTCCAATACAATATGTATTGTCGTTACAAATGCACATAAAAAACCAATTGAAAAGTTAAGTACCCAGTAATAAGGGGGGAATTAGAGTGGATTGGCACTTTTATGCTCTTAAATTCCAAACCAATTCCGTTTTTGTCCGCAATCTTAATGAACTCCTTTTCTATTGTTAAATTGATAATTTCTATCCAATTCAATTCTCTGTAACCACGTGACCAGAACTTGAAACCCCTTTAATGCCCTTTAAAGAATTCAATGTTAATTAAAAGGCATTAACTCCACAACAAATGATTCCCTTAAACGGCATTAAAGTGATTTCAGACTCTGGTCACGTGGTTATAGAGAATTGAATTGGATAGAAATGATCAACTTAACAATAGAAAAGGAATTCATTAAGATTACGGACAAAAACGGAATTGGTTTGGATTTTAAGGGCATAAAAGTACCAATCCACTTTAATTCACCCCTTATTACTGGGTAATTAATAAGCATCAAAAGGTAAACAATTTATCTAATTAGTAATGTTGGAAAAATTTTAGTGTGACCCACAAGGAGAGTGGTACTTCAGGAAGCGAAGTCCCCGATTGTAAAAAAACCATCTCAGATAATCAGAATAAAAGTGAGACTGGTTGTTGGTCACATAATATCACACAACTTTCGTGTTTCATAAACATTGAGAGTTACTAACGAGCAACCTGTGCTTAAAAGTACGATTTAACCTCGTTTTAAACACCGTGCTTAGAAACAGCAGCTTAGTCGAATTCGTCTAATTTTTGATGCAACATGATATCGAAAATTTATAATAACATTTATTTTGCACACAGCTAAAAAGAAACACTTTAATATGTTGATATATTTTCAAAAATCCTTTAAAACAGAAAAATGAAGTTACTTAAATAATTTTTGTCTTGTAAATGTAATAATAATTTAATAAAGAAAATGGTTTTCGTTTCGTCTTAAATAAGTTAACTATTGTTATATAATTTTGACGCGTTCACAAGAAAGGTGAAGAAGAACCTACCTAAGAAGCAAACGAATTATGGGTTATGTTGTGTTTCATGAATTAGTATATAAGGAGATTACCGTAGGGTTAGACATGGCCCCCAAATCGGACAAATGATATCCCGATTTATTTCTCTGCCTATGTCTTGGGGACACTTTGTAGAATCAATCGAGAATTTAAATGGGGACAAAATTTAAAAGTATTAGTTCCTTCCCTTTAAAATTATTCTTATTAGAGTCGTAGACCCAACAGGCGATTTATTTATTAGATGAACACCTCTCAGCTTAGGAGTGACCGAATTATTCATATAAAGTCGATGTCGAGATAATGACAATAGAAAATGACAGATAATGACTTAGAAAAATAAAAAAGTGCCTCGTAGAAGAAATTCTCTCCTTGAATGAATTTGACTAGGACGAGACTCGAAGAAGGCACTTGATACTTGAAGAGATTTTCTGGACTGGAGTTGAAGAAGAAACTCGATGATAGTACACAACTAGTTAACATGGTCACGGTTGCTGGACTAACACGAAGAACGCAAGTATCTGATTAGAGGGTGATTTTTAGACTGACACGAAGAAGACACTTGGGGACAGTGCACGACTACTTAACTTGGTGGCGATTCCTGGACTGGCGAATTTGGCGAGGGTGGAACCTTTTATACAGTGTCTTCAAATGGAAAGAAATGATAATGCCACCCACTTTTATTACCTTTGGGTCAGTTTTATTCTATTGATTAATTTAGGCGCGCGTGTTTGTTCCCTGTATCAGACAGGTGAGTAACCTTATAGAAGGGGGATAATCGTAGATGACCATATATGGTAAAGTCTGTTCAGGTGTCTGACAAATGGATCAATTTGCTTGGGTTACAAGAAAAAGGGAGGATTCAGATTCTAACTTAACAAATATCAAAACAAATACGTCGCGATGACGTGACAGTATCTACAATATAGATTTTTAATTCTTGATATGATAAAATGAATATTTTTGTTTAAGTATGTTAATTTAAATTATGCTAATCGTAATTTTAAAACAACAATTCATTTTAATGTCATGAAAAATGAAGAATATATCCTGAATATGTTCTGGAATTTTAAATGATATTTTCAGTAACCGAATCTGAAGTCCACTTTGCTTCATCACGTCAGAATAATTTTTTCCTAAGATAAGAAAATATGTCAAACTTTTAAGGGTGTAAGAATTTTTTTAGAAATTGATGGACTTCTTAAAAGGACAATTCTCCCGCAAATGAATAGCTACGATTTTCAGTCAAGTTATTCTTGACTCAGGGGATGCTAAGAAAATCACCTGATACCAAGCACTTGAAGAGGCATCGTAGGTTACCTTTTTTGCCCTTTCAGCTACCTGTGGGAACATTTTCCACTAGAGTAGCCTGAAAGATCTCCTTATACTACTTCATGGTATCTTTCTTGGAAGCGCGTCACATGTCACAAATCGCGGGGACAGATTGAAGAACTGAGGCTTGGCAATTCATAAGACACAGCGAAGCGTCGCTTTTTTATTTGTCCCCTCAATTGTCGTTTACTTATTGATTTATTAAATGAGAAGCAGGACAATTTGTCTTTTGTGATCTATATATCATAATAGCAAATGTATTAACGCATATGCTGAATTGCGCACAATAAATTGTATTTCACATGTGTACGAAATATCTTACGAAACTTATGTAGATAATTATAATAATTATCATTGTAAAACTATAGCAAATTAGATAAATTTATTAAAATATATTATAATTACAAATTAATATGACGCTTATTAATGCAGAACTACTATTGCTATTAACAATTTTTTATTGTTAAATTTTTAAATTATTTTGTAAAGAAAGACTTTGCTTTCATATTTGATATATTTACCATTTAGTTTCGAACTTTCTTACAATTTTTTTCAACTTATAATCATATTTTTATACATGATGGTAATACTTTGGTACCATTAATTATATTTACATGTTTTTAAATAAATTTCTTACTGAAATCTTTTTGTATGTTAATATAATAATAAACATGATTACATATAATCTTATTGTTAGTAAAGGTACTGTAACAAAGTTCGAAACTAGATGGTAAATTGTTAAACTTTCAACGTTCATATATGTAAATGATATACAAAATTTGAAATTTTTGTTTTCTTCTTGACTTGTATTCAATTTAACCACGTTTATTGTTGTAAATATTGTTAAAAACAAAGTATTATTTATAACTAACATTTTTGAATTCTTATCTAATACAAATCGAATTCGAATTTTGGAATTATAAATTTCAAGTATAATAAAAAAGAAAATGACAAGAAATTCAACACGTGTTCAAATATTTTTAAATATTTGATTACTTTTTGTAAATGAACTACTGTAAGTTATTAATATTGAATAAAAATATTTTACTTATATTAATCCACAATTTTTTTCCTTTTATGGGCAGTTTTACAAACGAAGGAAGAAAACGAAAGGAATTTTGATAAGCTAATTTTTTTGCAAGTAAGACCTGCCACCTATTTTTAATTTCAAGTTATAGTGACATTTTGAAACCTATCTGAAGGCGAGAACAGAATAGCCTACGTGAACGTGTAACGTGCTGACGTCACAATGTTATTCAAATGGGTCACGTGACCACGTTCACGTGACC